CCACCACCAGCGACTTCCGCCTTAGAAACCCAGGCCGCTTTCTCTTGGCCTGAAGGGTTGACCCAGGTGCGGCGGGAGGTCCTAGAAATTGCAGACCCCACCCTGGCGGACAAGGAGGAAGTCGGGGAGGCTGTGTCATCCTTAATAGCCCTGGCCAGCAAGCTGAGGCTGCTCCAAACGTCACCCAGAGCCCAGGGGGTGTCACTGATCACTTCTGCTAAAATCAGGGACAAGTTTCACACCATTTTTTTGTGGTTGCATGACTCCCATTACAGGGAAAATGCCCTCAGGGTCACATGGGTCTTCTGGGTAAACAAAGGCAGCCTCGTTTTGAGATCTTCGAAGTGTCTGAGGACCACAGGATCCACTGGCGGTCCCTATGACAACCACCCTCAGGTACAAGTCACCTACAGGCTTGATAGGATGCAGCCAGGTGTGTGAGGGGGAGGGCGGCGGTCTTGTGGGACTGAGCCCTTAATCTGTGGGACCCGACCCTATCTCCAGGTAGACAGCGCCAGAGCTGAGTTAAATTGTGGGACACCCAGCTGGTGTCTGAGAATTGCTTGGTGGTATCGTGGGGGACAGGGAGGGGATGTATCAGAATCGGTGACCAGAGCCTTAAGGAGAACCCACTCGTGTGTCTTTCCCAGCTTCCAGGGGCCTGACATTCCTGGGCTCCTGCCCCTCCCCCACCCTCAAGGTCAACAGCAGCCCTCCTCTCTGGCCAGTTCTCTGCAGTCCCCTCCCCCCCACCCTACTGTCTCCCTCTCCCACCCTCTCCCACTCTGACTGGGCCCGCCCAGGTAATCCAGGATACTGTGCCCACCACAGGGTCCCTAACTTCATCACACCTGCAAAGTCCCTTTGCCATGCAAGGTGACCCAGTCACGGGTCCTGCGGATTAGGCCATGGACACCTTAGGGGGACAATTATTCTGCCTTTGACCCCCAGCAACTTAAGACTGAAAAGGCAAAGCAAGACTTAAATAATCATAGGAAGCAGCTTCCTGTCCCTGGGGCTGAGGGGAGAAATTGGAAGAGGACAAAAATACTGAAACCCGACACTTGAAAGATGGGTCCCGCGGGGCAGGCCCAGAACCCTGAGAAAGGGGTGCATCTCGGCTGCCCACGAGGCTTGCGGGGGGAGGGGGCTCAGTGATGAGCAGGGTCTGCAAACGGGAGCTCGGGCAGGGCGCTCCTGAAGAGCCTTTGCGATACCAGCGTCGGGCGTCAGTGGCCAGCACTCACGCAGGCTGGAGCCGGTGGCAGGAGGGCGGCTGACACTCAGCCAAGGTGACGGCCGGTGTTTCGATTACAGCGATGGCCTGGCAGGCACCACTCGGCACACCCCAGCGGAGGGCCGCTTACCGGCCTGCAACTGGGCACTGGTGGACAGTGGGAGACCAGTTCCCCGGGTCTTGTCCCTCCCGGGGATCTCCATGGTGGATAAAGTGGGCCCTGCCCAGCAAGCCCATTGTTACATGGAAATGGCCCCAGAAAGGAGGAAACCAGCCATAGACGGACCATCCCACCTGCACGGAAGGGGGCCGGTCGCCCCCAGATGCAGCTATCCCAGAGGTGGGGGGCTGGGCCAGCACCCCCGGCTCCTCGTGAGCTGCAGTACGCTTTAGCCCACCAGGGTCCCGCTGCAGCTGGCCAGGCATGGGAAGGACTGGTTAAAGCCGTGTGTGAAGAAAAGACCCTGCCCCACGGACGGAGATGCGGACCGTGGCGCTTGTCCTGGGAAGCACCCCCAGAATGCACCTTGTTGCATTTCCCACGCTTGGAGCTGCTGGCCGATGCACTGTTGATGTCGTCCAGCACCTGCCAGTGGAACTGGATGATCGAGTCCCAACCCCTGCGGGCACAAACCCTGGGGCAGCAGCCTGCAGGGCCCCACACCCTCTGCTCATGATACCCACAGGGGCCCGTGGAAAAGGACACTCTGGCCGTGAGCATCAGTGGGACCAACAGGCTGGCTGGTTCTGCATCACCCAGGTAGGACCCCAGCCACCTGGAGGCGCCATCTCACGGGGCGTCAAGACGAAAATCAAAGCCAGGCGACGTCAGCACGTGGTGCCAAGGAAGCCGGGCTAATCCACCTGACTTCCCCACCATCGGTGACAAAGAGAACCCCAGGAGCCGGAGTCCAGTGCGCTGACCCTGCCGGTCCCGGCAAACGGACCCTACAAACCCCCTCCCAGGGTGGCACTGGGGGTTGACTACAGTGGGTGCCTTTTCTGGGTAGGACAGAGCTCCCACTTGCAGAGTGAACACCGGCCACGCCATCCAAGGACTCCTCACTGTCCAGCTACATGGTGAACTCCCTGGCCTCCCAGACAATGCCGCCACCCTGGTGGCCAAGAGCACCAGCAGTGGACAGCGATGTGGGCGTTCACGAGACATGTCAGGCCCCACAGCACCCACAGGCACAGGTGCCGTTAGAGATCAAAGGGCCCTGACCTGTGTGGCTCAGCGGGTTGGGTGTCGTTCCCGCCAACTGAAGGGTCGCTGGTTGGATTCCCGGTGGGGGCCCCTGGTTGAGGGTGTGCGAGAGGCAACTGATGGTTGTCTCTCTCCCTTTCTCCCTCCCTTTCCCTCTCTCTGAAAATAAAATCTTTTAAAAAGATAAAAGATAAAATGAACTCTTAAAAAAACTGGGGGGAAAAAAGTGGACCCAAATTGTGGTCATTTTGTGGTCAAATTGTGGCCCAGAAGTGCACCACCTGTTTAAACATGCTTCTTCATCACGTGACTGCAGCCACGTAAGGAGCCCTTCAGGAAACAGGCCCGGGGGACCCGTGGGGCAGTTACAGACGCCGGCGACCGTGATTGTGAGCGTGAGGTGCGAGATGCTCTAAAACGACACGTCATGATCACCTGGGCACAAGCCTAGGCGGTGGGTGTGTGCAGCAGGGCTGGGTCCTGCTGCCCGCGGCCGAGAGAGCGGAGCCGTCCGGCTGGCGGGGGAGGAGCGCCTCGGACTCTGGGGGGTCAGAGACGGCACCGTCAGCGTCTTCTGGCTTCCACGCGGGACGCCCGGCCCAGCCTGTCGTCTCAGAATGCCGTGATGCCTTGTCCCCGACAGTCGCCACTGCCCTCGCTCTGACTCCTGGTCCCCGGTCCTCTCAGACTCTCAGCGGAGGACCTGACTTGGGAGGCAGGATGGCGACCCGGGAGGAATTTCCTAGATCGGACTGCTCTCCTCCGGCCTCCCGGTATTGCTGCCCATGCCGGGGTCTCTCCCTGCCACCACAGCTACTGCTCTCCGCTGACTGCTGGGCCGCCGCCCCTCCGTGCCCCTCCCCTGCTCTCGGCCAGCTGTCCTTGGATTAATCCTAATCCCTAACTCAAGCCCTAACACTGACCTTGACCCTGACCTAACCTTAAGACATCCCTGTCCAAGGGGCAGTCCAGCCCCTCGATGACCCCACGGTGGGCAGCCATCCCTGCTGGAGAGGCGACCATGGAGGCCGTGCGGCCCTCACTTAGGTCCCTGCTCAGAGAACGTTCACCGTGGGCAAGGGCTGCGCTGCCCAGCACGGGCTCCCAGCACCCTTGGGGGCGATCTGGATAGACAGAGGCTTGGTCAGGACCAGGCCCCCCAAGACGCCGCCAGCTCCCGCTTACAGGAGCTACAGACCCATTTCTCCAGCCTCCTTCCTCTCTGCCCAGCAGGCGCCAGGGGTCTGCTGGCGCCTCTGGGGGCGAGGAAGCCAGCCCTTCTCACCTGGAGGGAGCTGGGACCTCGTTTGCTGTGTTCCAGACTGTCACCCATGCATGGCCCGGGGATGGCACCCAGCGGTTTGGACAGAGGCACCCTGGCCAGTCTGCTGAGGCTTGGTGACCGAGGGACGGAGGCAATCCCTGCAGGGGACCTCATGGGGCCGCCCTGTGCCCCTGCCCCTGTGAGGACACAGTCCCCACCAACCACAACTGGGTCGAAGGCTGTCACCTGGTCACCACGGGGCGTTTCCTCCAGCAGGAGCTCAGTGCCCTGCAGCACACCGGGGCCCGCAGATGTCACACCAGACCCGCATCGTGCGGTCAGCTGCGGGCAGGGCCCCGCACCCAGGCGAGGTCAACCTGGGCCCTGGAGCAGACAGGGAGGGCGGCTGCCTTGTTTCTCTCTCCTGGGGCTGGGACATCAACTTCCTGTGTATTTGCAGCCCAAGGCCGGCCCAGCCTCCGTCTCCCTGTGGGTCCCTGCCTGTCCCAGCTGTGCGCGAGGGGCTTCTGCTTGCACAGATGCGCCCTGGCCGGTCTTAAACACAGACCCGCCCGGGGGTCCAGGGCCCTTCACAGTCCGACCTTCCCCGAGTCGACCTGCTTCCACCCTCGTCTCCCACTGCTGAGGACACGGGCCCAGGGAGAGGCCGGGGAGCAGGCTCCCACCTGCCACGTATCAGTAACATGATGGGGATGCCACAAGGGTTTCTGGCAAAACCAGGGCCCACGACCCTTTGTTCTGGCTGCCACACAGGGGGACACCGGTTGGAGAAAGCTTCACCCCTCCCTTCCCGACGGTGGCAGCGCAGGGGGGCAGCCGGGTCTCTGGCCCACTGCCCCCCATCATCTCTGAGGGTCCGTGGGTGCCCGCCAGGTACCCCCAGCCCTGAGGCTCCCGGTGGGGACCCGGCCTTCAGCTCAGGTGTTTCTCGGAGCCTCCCTCAGCCCTCCCTCGCAGGCTGAGGTGTGTTCTTTGTTCACGAGAGGCGCACCTGGAGCCGGAGGTGGTGACCGCCTTGCTTCAGGATGAGGCGGAGCGGCGGGCTGGGCCGGCAGCTGCGTACACGCACCTCTCCCCACTCCTCGCCCCGGAGCAGGAGCGGGGTGGAAGGAGACAGGTCCCCAGGAGCTGCTCCCGGGGAGAAGGCTGGTAGGCCGAGGGGTCACTAGCAGCCTGGCGCCTCTGAGCAGGAATGCAGAAATGGAAACAGACATCAACAGCGACAGGAGAATCTCAGTGACAGCCCAGAAGGACTTCCAGGACTCCAGCAAGACGGTGAACGATCCTTTACAAACTGTCGAGCCCATTTTACAGACTGCCCCACTGAGGCTCAGAGACGTGGGAGCCAGGCTCCGGCAAGGGGAAGCCAGCGGCTCCTCGCCCCCAGCTCCAGAGCTGTTGCAGGTCAAGGTCATCTGAGACTGGTCCGGTGGCAGGGGAAGGAAAACCACCAGCTCTGGGGCCATCCCTGCCACCCCTCACCCTCACCCCGGTCGGGTCTGCCGCAGCATCTCCCTGCGAGAAACTCGTCTCCTCTGAGACCCGCCTGCGGGAGCCCGTCCCGCCTCGGCTGTTGGGCCGGGAGGGCCAGGTGGGGCCACACGTGCTGCACGGGACGTCCACGGCGGCCGCTCTCAGCTCCACGGTTCGTCCCGGAGAAGCCGAGCTACCAGGGCTCCCTGGAGTCCCAGCGGCTGGGCAGCCGATGCATGTCATCCCGCTGCAGGTGCTCGTAACAGGACTGGAGGGAGAGAGGCGGGCTGATGCCACGGCCCCGCCCGCTCCCGCCACCTGCACGGGCTTCTGGGGAGCGCCCCCAGCCCGGCCCAGACCCCCGTAACTGAGCTCCCACCACAGTCTGCAAGGCAACAAACAGGGCCTCCCCTCTCCCGCCGAGCTCAGGAGCAGGCTGGAGCACCCTCGGGGCCCCGCGGTCCCATCCCCAGGGCCGGCGGGCACTGCGGCGGTCCTCCAGCCCCTTCGACGAGGGCAGGGCCGGGGCGCAGTGGGGACCCCTCCCGTGGAGGCACACACATTGTGAACGTGAGTGAGCTCATCCCCACGACGGTGGCTGGTGGGGGGGGAGGTGTCTGTGCCAGTGGCCGGGACACTTCCGTCCCTCACCTCCAGGGCCGTGAGCAGGAAGTCGTACAGGCCCCCCGTGTGGACAGGGTCCATCATGTCACGGATCAGGTGGATCTCGGCTCCCAGGTGCTGGATGCTGGGGAGCAAGCGCCCCCGTGAGAGGAGAGTGGGGCCCTCGGGGCCAGGTACCGGGCGGCGGGGGAAGCAGCCCCAGCCTGGGGGGCTGGGCCTCTGCGGCTAGGTCCCCGCTCTGCTCCTGACACACCGCAGACCCTGGGGGGGCCTGGGAGCCCTCCACCCCGGGCCTTAGTGACCCCACCTGCACCGCAGAAAGCAGTGCCTGTGGGCAGGGGCCAGGCGGGCGCGGCTCCAGGTCCCAGCCCGGCGTCAGCTCACCGGGCACCAGCTCACCGGGCACCAGCTCACCGGGCACGCGACACCACGTAGATGAGCAGCGGCAGCAGGTCGTCCATGGGCAGCTTGTGCTCCCGGCCCAGCACCCGGGACACGGTGGCCTCGATCTCCCCGTACGTCCTCTCCAGCACCTCCAGCTTCTCCCGGGGGTCCACCGTGGTGCTGCAGCGGGGCGGCTGGCTCACATCAGTGCCCTCGGGCTGGGTCCCAGTGGTGGGGGAGGGGGCCCCAGCGCTCCTGCCCCCCGCCCCACCCCGCCCGGGCCGCGGACTCACATGACCTTCTGCAGACACTCGGTGGCTGACAGGAAGCACTTGTCCTTGACCAGGGAGTGCCTCTGTGCGGCAGGGGGGCAGGCGGGAGGGTGAGGCCACGGCCCCCCCAGCTCTGTCACGTTCTCCTCCTTCACCGCCCACCCCGTCCCCGTCAGCGGCCTCAGCTCAGCCCTGCCCGGCGGGGGAGTGGCCCAGGGCGTCCCAGCTGCACTGCAAGTCTCAGTTTACGCAGCTGTCAAGTGGGGCAAATGGTCGGCGGGAGGCTGGGGGCTTCATCAAAATGAACACAGAGGAGTCGTAACGGCCAAGGGCCCCTGGGTGCCCCCAGGTCTGACTGCCAACGTCAACGGCTCCCGAGCCAGAGAACGGGGCGAGACACCAGTCCCCAGTTGTCCTCGAGTTTCTGCCTCAGGAGGCCTGGGGTGGGTCCGAGAATCTGCTTCCCCGTCAGCCTCCTGGGGCCGCTGAGGCTGCTGGTGCGGCAGTGCCCCGGGGAGGGCCGCCCGCCCCCCCCAGCGGCCGTCCTGTGAGGGGCTCTTTCACAGATAAGGAAACTGAGGCATAGAGGCCAACCACCAGGCCCACTGTGGCAGGGCCAGTAAAGGGGTGGGGCCCGGGTTCGAGCCCGGTCACCTCGGGCCACCAGCTACACCCTTGGAAGCCTGGCGTCCCCTCTCTCACGCACCGCCACCCCTCCCTGGTCCTCTGCGGCCCCTGACCCACAACATGGAAGCTTGGGCGAACCTGGAGGTCCAGCTCAGGGCCCAGGCCTCCCCCTCCCTGGGGCAAGGGAAGAGCCCACCCTCTCACCTGATTGGTTGTCAGCGTGAGGTCCTTGAGGGGCCACAGGTGCCTGAAATTTAAAAAACAAGACAGGAAGCCTTGCCAAGAGGAAGGGACAGGGTCTGAGGTCAGAGGGCAAACCCCTTGTGCCACCATGCTCCCCAGAAGGGCTGAGCACAGGAAATGGGTCCATAATGGCACCCCAGGGTACGTGCGTGGAGCCCAAGGCAAAAGGGGCCGAGAGGGATTGCTGGAGGGGGTAGACCTCCATCCGACCCAAAGACATGGAGGCAACTTGTCAGCCAGAGGAGAGACACCTGGGAAGCCACCGGCCACCAGATCTCTAGGCTGGCGACTGGGCAGATGCAGAGAACAGTCATCACGATGGGAGGGGAAACGGGGTGCTGGGGGGCAGGTGGGAGGCACCATCGCTGACTGACAATGACCAGCTGTGGGAGCAGAGCATCCAGGTCACCCGCAGTATTAACAGAGCAGAGAGCCGCTGAGGAGCAACACTACTGCGGCAACTGCACGCAGACTGGAGGCCTGCCCTGCCCCGGGAACAGGCCTCGGTTTCCCCCCGGGGATCTCCCCTCCTCCACTCCCAGTCCAACAGCCAGGAACGGGTGACCTTGGCCCAGCCCCAGCGGCAGATACCGAGGCAGGCCTGGCCAGTCTGGGCAGCAGCCAGCAGTCAGGGCGCACTTAAACCCAAGCCAGGGAGGGACTTCGGGGCTGTGCTGGAGCTGCTGGGAAGGAGACACCAGCTCCCTGTGGAGACAGGGGGGCACTGAGCTGGGAGAATATAGACCTTGAGTGGCTGGTACCATGCTTGCCATCATGAGGGGGAGCTACAGACAGACCAACAGAGAGAAAGTTGCTTCCCTTTATCATGCCATTGAGCACCTAGATCCAGCCACACCTGAATGCAGCCACCAGCATAACCCTAGAACTTCATGAGTGCACGGCCAATTAATGCCCTCCTCTTTTGTTTGCTAAAGGACAACTTGAGTTGAGCTTTTATCCTCTGCTACAGAGCCCCGGTAAACACGGCAGTCGGGGGAAGGCTTACTTTTGCACGTCCAAGAACTCCAGAAGCTTGGTGTCAGGAAACAGGCTCAGGTTGGTGAGGCCCTGGCTGTAGAGACTGTCCTCTCTCTCGTGAAGAAGCAGGTAGAGAGTGAAGAGCTCCGAGTAGAAGCTGGGCAGTATGAGCGGCAGCACCAGTCCGTACACCCGCAGGTCCCTGCAAGACGGCAGCCAGGACAGGTTGGGGTCCGCAGGGAGGCGGGCTGGGGGTGGGGATCACTCCAAGGAGCCCCCATTGCTCCCTGCCCCACAGCGGTGTCCCCGCCTCCGGCCTCCTCTGCTCCCAAGAAAACCCTCCCAAGCCTGTTCTCGGTCCCGGCACAGCTGATGGCTCCTTGTGGCCACCTCCTTGTCTCACTTGACCTGGAGACCCCACCTGGCAGGTGGGGCAGGATTTTGATCCCAATGTGACTGAAAGCAAAACCAGGGCCCCGGATGGATGGACTCGGGACTGGCAGCGAAGCCCTCTCGGGGCAGTCCAACCGTGCATCTCAGTTTTCCGTGCTGCCTGGGGCTCAGGGGTGGGGGGAGTTCTCCCTAATGTCTGAGCCCCTCCTCAGGCTCCCTGCAGTGCGGTGACAGCAAGGTCTCTCTGGCCTTCGGTCTCCAGGCCCTGGCCACCCTGACAGCACCTCTAGGCCCGGAACCTGAAGGCAGCTATGCAGGTCTGATCCCGGGGGACCCGGGGCGAGAGTCAGTGACCAGTGTACGTCCTGCTGGGTGACCTCCGAGTCAGCCCCTGCCAGGCTCGCCCCTGGGCATGCAGACAAGGCTGCGCTAGCACGTTCCGAACAAAGAGACACATGATGCACCACTCCCCTCCCGCCCGCACCCCGGGAGCAGAGGTCGAGGATCATCCTGACCCTCGGATGCTCCAAAGACAAAGCTGGGCCAACAGCCTTAACTCCTAGCACTTCCCCAGAGGCGCCCCCCGCCCCCACCCCCTGAGGGGGGCCCAGGGAGCCAAGGTGCCCCGGGTGGAGGGGGAGGACCCCGCCGACCCCATGGGGCCCGGGGCAGCCACCTCGTCTCTGTGTCTTCCTCTTCCTCCAGGGCCTGGCCCTTCCGCTGCAAAGCAACCCGCAGCAGACCCCTGTAAGCCAAGCAGAAGGGGACAGTGTGGCCACCACCTCCCACAGAACTAGAGCCCCAGCTGCCTGTCACCAAGGGCAGGTGGCCCCACCCCCAGAACCGTGGGGACTGGAGATGCAGCCTGCGTCCAGGGTCAGGCTCAGCCTGTGCTGGGGTTCAAGCTCCCTTGGGGCCAGGGGTCCACCCAGGGCCAGGCTGCGTCTTGCCATCATCTCCCCACGCTCTGCTCCCTGGCTGCACGCTGACCAACCCACCCCCCACCAACACCCCCACCCTCTTCTTGGGAGGAGCACCATGCCTGCCCCGGGCTCCTGGGACGCAGATGCTGGGAAAGGGCGGAGCCCGCTCCCCGGGTCACAGGGCAGCGGCTGTTCCCGCGTGCCTCCCAGCTCACCGGTAGGCGGCCCAGAGCTCCCGGGCGTGCTGCTTCACCTCCTCCTGGGCCAGCCCCTGCAGGTGCTTGTTGGCCCCGATGCCCGCGTACGTGGCCTGGAAGGTCTGCATCAGCGTCCGGAGCAGCATCCCCAGGGGGTGCAGCGAGCTGCTCAGAGCCTGGCCGGCGCACAGGCAAGGAAGGGGCGATGCTCAGGGCAGGGGCTGGAGCCTGGCGGGCCCAGACGAGGCCCCCAGGACTGCTCCCACGGCACACACGGGAACCCCACCGCCCCCTGAGGAGAAGGGGCCCACGGCCTGTCCCCTGGGTCAGCGACAGGGGCAGTGAGGAGGACCCCCACAGGCGCCGCCCCAGGGCCCTCACCTTCGTGAGGTACGGCTGCAGGGCTGCAGGCTCCCGGTGCCGCAGCACCTCCTCCAGGATGTCCTCCATCCTGCCCGCACTGTCATCTGGTGGGGTCCTAAGGCAGCACGCACACACGTCTGTCAGCCACACCTGAGCCCAGGTCCGCCAGCTCCAGGAAGCCTTCTGGGTGTCCTCGTGGACACATGGGCACACACACCCCCACGCCTCACCTCTCGCAGCACAGGTACTCCTGCGACCTGCGCAGCTCCCTCGAGCTCTGCACGTGGAAGCCCAGCAGAGCCTCCTGCAGGTCCCCGGGGCAGCCGGCGCGCACGAAGTCTCGGAAGGGGCCGTAGACGCCCTGCCAGCGGCTCTCCACAGGGAAGGCGCCCAGGCCCAGCTGCCTGTGATGGAGGCGGTGGGGGAGAGGGGGTAGAAATGGGACCGTCCGGGGCAGGACCCTGCCCAGGCCCGCCCCGGGAGAGGTGGGGGTAGCCAGCATGGCCCAGAGTCAGGGCCCGGGGAGGGTGGATGGACTGGGGGTGTAGGTGGGGCTACCTCCCACACTCCAGGAAGAGAAAGGAGAGGCCGGGAAGGGACAGAGAGAATTCACCCTTTGGTGGAGAGTAAAGAGAGGGCGCACAGAGCCCTGGAAAGGTGACAGAAAGATCTGGAGAGTGGGAGGCGCAGCCCAGACAGTGCGGTTTGGGCCTAAGAGAGGCCAGTGCCCACAAGTCTGGAATTCCCCATCTGCGAAACCCTGCTCTCCCTCCCACCCCACCTGGGGCCTCACTGAGCTTGACCCCAGCAGGTCTGGGGGTCTGACTGTGTGTGTGTGTCCAATAGAGCACTGCCCTCCCCCGTCACACTCACAGATTTCCCCACCCCACACCCCACCGGGCTGGGCACCGCCCCTGAGGTATGCCACGGCACTCAGTCCCTCCTGCCGAGACCAGCAGTGTGCAGGGACCACGGGTCAGGCAGTCACCTGCACCCTTCCCCACGTCTGACGTGCTGGCCGGTTCTGCGCCCCGTTAGAAGCCCCACCCACAGAGATGCTCTCATCACTGCAAAACCAAGTCTTCCTCTTCCACTTAGCAAGTTTCCTTCTTCACCTGGCCTGCCAGGGAACTCAGAGCCAGACTAATGCTCAATCACACTCCTTATAAGGCCTATCTGCACCTCCTTTTTTTCTAAGCTCCACTCACATTTTTATTTTCTATTTTATTTTTGTTTGTTTTGGTTTTTTTAAGCTGTCTTGTACCCTTCCTAGGAAAAATGCAGGGTCTAAGCAAAGCCTACTAGGAATATTTCCCTCCAGTTTGTGGCATGCGGCATTATTGTCCCGTGGCCCTTGATTCCAAGAGTCTCCTGGGTGCCCGGCTCTCGGAACTCTCCCAAGAGCCAAGCGGACGCACAGGAAAGCCTCCCTGATGAGACCCGAGTCCTCGGGGTGGAAACGGACACGAAGACGCCCCAGGCGAGCTCCAGAAACCCTGGCCAGACCCCAGGGCTCTCACCTCTTGCAGGTGCTGCTTGGGTCGGGCGGGGGGGCAGCCGTGTCCAGCAGGCCCTGGGTGTGCAGTCCGCTCCCGGCCCCGCTGCCGAAGGAGCCCTCCAGGGTGAAGCCGTTGGGGAAGGTGACCTTGCCCTGGAGGCCGGGAGGAGGGCACAGGGATGTCTGTCTGTCCAGGTGCCCTTCCGTCCAATCGTGGCAGGTCTCATGCCTTTCCATCCCGGGTGACACGGGCTAGGGACAGGTGGGTGGCCTTCCCTCCTCCCATTTAATCTTCCCAACCCCGAGAGGGCTCCCCAAGCTCCCCCCACTGCAGGAGCTCCGCCCCCTGCACAAGCTCCCCCAGAAAGAGCTGTGCCCATCTCCCAGGGGATCATCCCTGAGGGAGGAGCCAGGGACAAAAATGGAGATTAAGCCCTGGCTGGCGTAGCTCAGTGGATTGAGCGCAGGCTGCGAACCAGGCATCGCAGGTTCAATTCCCAGTCAGAGCACATGCCTGGGTTGCAGGCCACGGCCTCCAGCAACCAACCACACATTGATGTCTCTCTCTCTCTCTTTCTCTCCCCCTTCCCTCTAAAAATAAATAAATCTTTTTTTTTCTTTTAAAGGAGATTAAGGGACTGGAAGCCCAGAGTGGGAGAACCACCACTGCACGGCTGGGGCGGGCACATCCAGAGGTAGGCAGGGCCCTGGCGAGGGCACAGGGCACTACCGGCCCCGGGGAAGGGATATTATTTGCTGCACGGGGCTGCCCCATTCCCAGCACTCCCGGTCTCCACCCAACCAATGCCAGTCATAACGGAACCAAAACAGCCCCCACATTTCCAAAGGCCCCACAGGGACTTGACCACCTGCTGCTGGGTCAGCCCAGGCAGAAAAGACACCTGCCCAAGGCACTGACGATGCGGGTGGAGCCCCAACGAGGGAACCTGTGGGGGGACACGGTCAGGGGGCCAACAGCACCCGCTGTGCCCAAAGTGAGCCCATCCCCTCTTCTCAACTCCCCCCAGGATCAAATCACACCTCTGCAGAGGGAGGGCCCTTGGGATGCGTGGAGATAGGGGAGGCCCTCCCTGCCTCCTCACCCGCTGCCCGCACCCTCGGCCCTGGGCCCCAGGGGCAGGCTACGGACGCCGGCCCCGGCCTTGGCAGGGGGCGGGGCTGGCCCTCACCTTCCCCAGGAGGACCAGGTCCCTGGTGAAGGTGCCCTCGTACAAGGAGTCGTCTTCAGAGAGGAGGACCCCTGGGCCCTAGGGAAGGAAGGCGGGCAGAGAAGTGGGTTCTGAAGGGCCAGGAGATGTGGGGGGAGGTGGGAGGGGGCGGGGGGAGAGGGGAGGGGGGCACTGACTCACAGGGAACAGGGTTCTGGGCCCCGTTGCACCTCCCAGGACTGTGCCAGGTGGCAGGCCAGTCCTTGGCCTGCTGCGCACCGAGCATGCGCCCCCAAGGACCTCATCCCTGGTCACCCTGAACGGCGCCCTGGAGCCCTGGCTCCTCCTCCCCAGGGGCCTCTCTCAGAAGCCCTCCCTTGGCCCCTGTGGCTCTGGAGGCACTGTGCTTCTCCTGAACCACCCGCACGGCCCCGTCACACCCCGGGAGGGGACAGCGGGGTGGATCCCACGCCCTTGCTGCGCTGGCTGGCAGGAAGCTCAGAGCCAAACAGGACATGATCTCTGTCCCACTTATTTCTGAATCTATTTTACGTGCCCGTCCTTGTCTTTCCTTCCCCCTTCAGTCCCTCCCAGAGCCCAGTGCAGGGCAGACAGACAGACAGACAGACAGGCCACCGCAGCAGGGACAGCCATCGGGCCAGGGCGCCACGAGGTTCTAAGGCCCCAGCAGGGTGCCGGCGGGGCAGGGGCTGAGGGCCCGGTGCCCGGGCTTGGGGGACCTGGGGCGGAGTCTCAGCTCGGCTGCCCATGAGAAGGTGACAGAGGACAGGCCGTCTGACCTCCCTGAGTCTCACACGTGTCATTCGTACATGAGGGACAATGACATGACCCGCAGGGCTACGGGGGCGACCCCACCAGGTCGAGCTGGGAGGCTGAGACCAGAGCTGGGCCTCCGGTGGGGGGTCCCCACGCACGGGCTGTGCCGGCTGCGGGGTCCCCACCACCGCACGCCTTGTCCCTGCCTGCAACCTCACTGAGTCCTTCCCACTGGTTGTCGGCCGGAGCTGCCGATGGCGCCGGGACTCGGCCGAGGCCAGGGTAGGCGGGCAGCAGAAGGTCCTGGCTCCGTCCAGCACCCAGGAACCCAGCCTCCCACCTCATCCACCCCTGGCCGGCCTCTGGAGTCCCTGGAGGGGCGGGCTCCGGAGTCCAGCCGGCGTGCAGGGACAGGGCAGCTCGGGACATGTGCGGGTCGCCCCACTCACCACCATCTTGTCTGCCTGGAAGTTCCCCTGGTAGCAGACTCCCGCCTGGGTGACCATGACCCCCGGGCCGTGGCGCTGGTCGGCCTGCCACATGCCAATGTAGCGCTCGCCCCTGGGCAGGAGGGAGAGCGGCCGGAGCTGAGTCAGAATTGTCCCCTTGCCCCTTCCGTGTGCTCTGCTGTCGTGTGTGTGCGTGTACGTGTGTGTGATGGGGGGCGAGCAGATAAGGACCAATGACATCACCTGACCCTACTTGACTCAGACAAGGGGCAGGTGAAGTCGGGACCCCCAAGAGAATGGAGGAGGGAGGGCGCGTGCCTGGGGGAGGACATCCTGGCAGGCTTCCTGGGGGAGGTGGCAGGAAGGACGGAGGGAGTGGGAGCGCCATTCACACCGTGCGGAGCCCCGGAGGCAGGAGTGTCCGACAGAGAGGCGGGGTTGTCAGTGGTCTAGAAGGCCGGAGGGGCGCACGGGCGTTCTGGCAGGAGCGGGGTCCAAGGAGCTGGCGAGGCCAACATCGCCAGACCAGGGCCCTGAGCTCCTCTCGTAGCCCAGAGTGCCCAGGAGGGCTGGCCCTCAGACGGGACCGGCTCAGGGGCCAGAAACGCCTCTCGGGCGGCATGAGGAGGAGTGGGGGGGGGGGCTGCCTGAGCCCGGACACAGCCAAGGGCAGCAAACAGGCTGGGCGGGGGGGGCGGGGACAAACGGAACGGGCTCCTGCCCACAGGGAGCCTGTGCTTCGGGGCTGTTGGGTCTGGAGGGTCTCCTCTGCCCCCTGCACCGACCCCGGGGGAGGGGGGTGCCGCGGGCTGCTCACCTGTCCCTGTCCTCCTGGACACCGTAGCCGCTCCTCTGGCCCCTCTCCCAGTGGCCCGTGTACTTGCAGGGCCCAGGGAGCTGCGGGGCACTCTCGAGGACCCCGAAGCCGTGCCGCAGGCCATCCCGGAAGTGGCCCTTGTACACCTGGTCGGTGCCGTGCCTGGGGAGAGTCGCCAGCGGCTGGCCCTGCCTCCCGGAGCTCGGCCCGGGGGACACGCCTGCACCCGGAGCCTCCCCCACCCCCCACCGCCAGGCCCAGGGTCACTTACTCACAGATGCCGTAGCCACACATGCTGCCTTCCCGCCAGTGGCACTTGTAACAGTCAAACTTGTCCTCAGAGGCCTGGGGCACCAGGCAGATGCCAAAGCTGTCCACGTGGGTGGGCGGGGAGGGGAGTCAGCAGCGGCCCCGGCGCTGGCCCGGGGGTGTCCCTGCCCCTGGGGGCTTTCTCAGACGGCGGGGAGAGACCCCCAGGTGCTCAACCCAGCTCTTCTCTCCGAGCGCCCCTCTCAGCACAGCCCCCTCCATCTCGCCCCCAAGCACCCTGGGAGCGCCTTCTGGCCCCGGACCACTCCCTCCATGGCCCGTCCTCTGCAGGGCCTCGGTTTCCCTTTTGTCCAAAGACAGGAGCTAGACCAGATGGCCTCTGAGTTCTGCTTGGGTTTGGGGATTGGGATGGGGCCAGGCTGGGGACGTTGGCAGGGATGAAACCACTCTCCTGCCCACACCCCCCGCCCCCATGGGCCCAGCCTTACCCATGCTCCAGGCCCTGGCAAAAACTGCCCACGTGATTCCGCCCATCCGGCCACTTCAGCGTCCCCCTGGAATACAGGTGAGGTCACGGGCATCAGGCCCACCAGACCCATCTTTACACGCAGGGGACCCCCGCCAGCATCTGCCACTGAGTCTCTCAGAGGCCAGGGCTCCCCTCAGGCTGGTCTCTGCCCACCAGCCCTCTTCCTGGCTCTAGGACCCCGAGGGGCTCTCAGCCCTCTGCCCTGACACGCGGGCCTGGCCGCCTTGAGGGGCCTGGTCCTCACACCCCATAGGGAGAGCTCTGGAAACATCTGGGTTCCTTTTTTTTAAGATTTTATTTATTTATTTTTAGAGAGAGAGGAGGGGAGGGAGAAAGAGAGGGGAGAAACATTAATGCATTTTTGCTTCTCACACACCCCCAACTGGGGACCTGGCCCGCAACCCAGGCATATGTCCTGACTGGGAATTGAACCAGTGACCTTCGGTTCACAGGCCGGCACTCAATCCACTGAGCCACACCAGCCAGGGCCAGGTTCCCTTTTTCGCTTGATGGACAGGAAGCTCAGCGCTAAACTTCAAGCCCAAGCCAGATGCTAATCACTGGGGCTCCTACCGCCCCCCTCTCTCCTTCTGACACGCCATTGTCTTATCTTCTTGTTCCTAAGCATCCTCACGCCCTTTCCGAAAGCAAGGAATCGGGACGTCAGAACCACTGGCGTGCTTGTGAGCGTAACCCTGGCGAGTCCCTTTTGCTTCCTGGGCCTCACGGTCTCGCCAGCTGGAGCGCAGGGTGGGGTCACGTGCTCTCCAGAAGCCCGCCTGCCTGTGGGGTCAGGGGGACCTGGAATTGCAGCCAGGCTCACCCCATACTCCGCCCCAAAGGCCTCGGGCATGTCACGCCAGTCTCAGGCCTGTCTCCGCACCGACAAAGCGGGGGACACGGTCTCCCCAGAGCATCCTCGCAAGGACCAGTGGAGGCAGGATGTCTGCAAACCCCTCCTCTGCTGCCGCGCGGTGCTGGGCAGACGTGAGGACGGCTCTGCCCCCTCCTGGGAACAGCCCGCGGGCCCTGCCCTGCGGGCCGGCCACCTGGCCCCGCCCCACGCCCCTGTGTCACGACATCGGGACTTTATCCGGCACACCCCTGCCGCAGGGCAGGCCTTGTCCCCGAGAACTGAAGAGAAACTCTGGGGGACACACGGAAGTGACCGAGTGACCACAGGAATGAGCGCCTTTGGCTCACACCCCGAGGCCCCGAGGCCCCGAGGCCCCCCGTGGGTCCTGCCTGGCCCCCGCCCCCCCCGGGGGGAGCCCCGGTCACTCACTTGCCATGGGGCCTGCCGCGGCACCACTCGCCCTCGTAGGTGGCCTGGCAGAGCCGACCCTCCGCCAGGAAGGTGTACGCCACGGAGCGGCAGGTGGGGGTCTCGGAGGGCTCCGGGCCTGCCCCCAGCACCGGGAAGTCTTTCTTCCCGCGGAGGGCCTGGCACACGGCCTGGGTGACCTTCCACCGCCAGACCGCCTGCCGGGGACAGGGCAAACACGGGACAGGTCACCGCTACGCCCCTCCAGGACGCCTTCTGGGGTGAGTCCAGATGACCCCCTCCACACCCCACCTCCAGCCCCACCCTGCCACTCGGAGGAAGCGCCACCCACTCCACACTGCTCCCCGGGGCCCTCCACCCACCCACACCTGAGCCCCTGGTCGCCGGTCGGGGGAGGGTGGCTGGCACCCCAGGCAGGGGCCACCACAGGCCCCAGGGCCGGCTCCGCAGAGAGAACCGCCTGCCTCCCTGTCGCTCTCACTCATGGCCTCAGGTTCCCTGACTCGCCCCAACCACGGTCCTGGAGGCCTGGCAGCCCCGTGGCGCCCCCGGAGTGGTACCCTGGAGCCCTCCCCTCCCTGCTCGCCCCCACCTTGGCCCCACACCCCAATTCCCAGTTCGCCCACACTCACCTGGTCCTGGGAGTTCTTGGAGGAGAAGAAGAACTCTTCCTCGGGCGTGAGGAGGTGGAGCGCGCACCTAGACAGACGGAAGTGACGAGTAGGCCCCCGCTCTGTCCAGGAGGGTGCTGAGGAGGGCCCGGGTCGAAGCCTTGGGGTGCGGGCGGTTTCGTGGGATCGAGGGAGGAGAGGCCCGGGGTGTCTCTGGAGGAGGTGGCTCACCCGTCCTGCTCGGGATCCACCCACACCAGCTTCAGGTCGAAGGTGTGGACGCTGTGGCCCTAGAGGACAACAGGGCACACGTGTCGCCCAGAGCCCAGACCGTCTAGACGCTCGCCGACTCTCCGGGCCGGGCAAGGTGTCCCCAGACTGCGCGGTCCGGCCTCCCCCCATCCTGCTCCATCACGGCCACCAGAGGGCTCTTCTGGAAACACAGCCAGGGTGTCAGCCCCTGCTGGAAACCCCTCTAGGGGCCCTGCTGCCCCAGGGCACAAAGGCCTCCCTGCAGAGCCCCCCACTGGAGGCCACAGAGCCTGCCCAGCTGACATGCCCCGCCCACCCGCCCTCCCCACGCTGCCACCTCACGGCCAGTCCACGCTGGCACCTGCTTGCACGTGCCCCACCCTCTCCTCCACCTGATGTTCCTTCTGCCTGGAATGCCACCCCTGCTCTGACAGCCAGCCTGCACGTCCCTTCCCCCCAAGACCTCCCACCCGGGCCGCCCAGGCCAGCCGACCCCTGCCCTGCCTCCACACGGGGGGAGAAGGGGCCAGGCCCGGGGCCGGGGGAGATAGGTGCGCCAGACACAGGCCAGGGACAAGAGGGGTCCGGCGGAGATGAGGGGACGTGCAAAGGTCCGGAGGCGGGGAAGGGCTCCGCGCACGTGAGTGACGGAACCTCTTCGGTGTACCTGGGGCTCCGAGTGTGCGGTCAGGAGCGGAGGGGAATCAGAGCAAACCCCCCAACCAGGCTCCGCCGGGGCGCGCAGGTTTGGGCGGGCCCAGTGGCATCTCCCCCTGTCTGCAGGAGAGTTCCAGACTGACCTTCCGGGGGGGCACAGAAGACAGTGCTGTGGCCGTCACACGGGCAATATGAGGTCAAGGGGACAGGGCACAGGCAGGTCACTGGCCACGTCGCAACCCCAAGTCCGGGCTTGGCTCTCCCCGGCGTCAGCACGCCGAGGGCCCGGGCCCTGCTGCTGCATGAGAGCCCTCTCTGGAAGCCTGCCCACACCCTGGGGGGGGGGGGTCCTCCAGCCCTCCTCAGCCTCCACGGACCACCCAGGACCCGCCGCCTGCGGCCCCTCTCCTGTCTGAGGAAGAGAACCAAGCTGTCTGGCACCTGGCCACAGTGACCCCATTTTCCAGATGAGAACCGGAGGGGACGACATTCGCAGGGGCCCCAGCAGCCCTTCCACACCACCCGGGCTCCGTCAGGGACACCCCCTCCCGCCCGCCCGCTGCCCCAACCAGCCCGGCCCTCTGCCCTCCCGCCGCGGCACCTCCCCCACGAGCCCAGGTGCTCACTCCCACCTGCGCGTCCCTTTCCCACCTTTCTCAGCCAGACCCCGGGCCCCCACCGCGGCCCCCAGACCTCCGGTCCGCCCCACCCAACCTGCAGAAGGACGAGGACGTCATCGAAGAGCAGCACGCGCTCTGCCCGCAGCGGGGCAACCGTCACGGGGATGTCCTGGCTGTCTTGCAAGAGCCGGCGAGCAGGGGTGCAGAGAGCATCCTGGTGAGGGGGTCGGGGGGGGGTGCGCGGGGCTCAGGCAGCTGTCCTGGGTGCAGCCCGCCGCCCCCCTGCCCGCCTCTGCCCCCGATGCGTGCCCCCAGGGCAGCGACGGACACCAATGGACGGGGCTGGGGCCCCAGGGTCTGGGGGGTCTCGGGGTGGCTGGGGTGGCCCCAGCCACCCCGACGGGGCACCATCACTGCGTCCTCCCCCACCCACCTCGAGCCTCGGCCCCACCCAAGGGCTCGACCCCTGTTAGCCGTCGCCTGCGGTTCCGCAATGCCCACCTCCCTCCGGCAATTCTTGTCCACGCCCGCCCCCCAACCTGTTCTCCCGATCCTCCACCCCGGGCCTGGAGCCTGTCATACCCCCTCAGGGCACAGGGATCTGTCTCCCCACCCCCTGCTGCAGGGACAGCAGGTGCCATGGCGGGCAGGGGCGCGGGGATGCAGCCACGTGGTGACATCCCAGGAGACAGGGCCAGTTCTGCTGACCGCTCCTGCCCAGGGCCAGCTCAGGAGGTGCTCAGCAAGTGGGCAAAGACGGCCAGACAGAGGGACCGTGTGGCCACCTGGTTCGGCGGCCACCCCGCTTCCAGACAAGGACCCTGCGGCCCGGCGGCACTCACCCGAGGCCGGCTGCTCAGGGTGCGCCAGAGGGCCTGCGTGGCCGTGGCCTGGTCCAGCGCCTGCCTCAGGAAGGACTGCAGGCCCCCGAAGAGCGAGGCTGTGCGCACCACCAGCTCCCGGGCGGGGTGGTGCTGTGGGGGGGCAGAGCAGCCAGGGCAGGGGGCTTATCAGGGCCTCCCCCCTACTCCATGAGGGCTGCCCCAGCTGTGTCTAAGCCCAAGTTCACCTGTTCTCCCCACCAGCTCCCCCCTTCAGGAAGCGGCCAGCATGCAGGTGCTTGCTGGGGAGTCGGGACCGTTCCACGGCCCCCCAGCTGGGCCTGTGCCCTGGACCCTCACACCCAGTATACGGTTCCCCATCAGCTCCCTGGGTCTCTGCCAGCCCCCCAGGGCCGGGCCAAGAGCCTTAGAACTCTCCGGGGCAAATACGTGTCCCTTAAAACCCCCCAGAACAGAGCCAGGTCCCCAAAGCCTGGCTAGATCCTTCTCAAACCAGGGTTCCTGAGGGCGGCAGGCATCCTGAGCCGGGGCCCTGTGTGCCCCCACCCCTGGCTTCCCCGCAGGCGACACGCCTGGCCAGCAGCGCCCGGCCACTCACATCTCCGACGGTGTCGCCCAGGCTCAGCAGGAGGAGCACGTACTGCTGCACGTGATGGGTGAGGGGCTGGCGCAGGGCCTGGACCAGCGCGGGGCCCACTGCGCGCTCGGAGCCCAGGCCCCACAGGAGCTGCCGCAGCGCCTTCCGCTGGGCCCGCCAGTACTCACTGAGCGGAGGAAGGGCCACACGCCGCCGTCACTCCCCCTCCTGCGTCCCTCCCCCTCCTGCGTCCCCGCGCCCACCGCCACCCTGCCCTGCCAGAGCCCAGACCTCACCCCCCCCTCGGGCCTGCGCACAGCCTGAGCGGCCCTCTTGGAGACTTGGTGGCAAGGCCTCAGGGTTTCCGTGGGTCAGTGACTACCACCGCCCGCCCCAAGCGGGAGTGCCGCCTCCCCCGCCCCAGGGTCACCCCGGGCTGGTGGATTCCGGGAGTGTGCTCTCAGCAGGTTTGCCGCCCTTTCCGGTGTGGATCAGGGAGGGATCCAGAGACGGGAAAGCTCAGGGTGAGTCACCCACGGGGCTGTGGCACTCAGGGCTCTGAGGCGGGCCTCCCCAGCCCCGCCCTACCAGACACCCCACCCACCCGGAGGCCCACCCCTCGCTCACCTCCTCCACTTCGCTGCCTTCTGAAAGGCCTGCACCACCACGCAGCTGGTGTAGGACTCGATGTACCTGCAGGCAACACAGGGGGCGCCCTGCAGGCCCAGCGCCCCACTCCGGACTCCGCCCTTGCCCTTCTAGGGTGCCCAGACCCCACTCATCGAGTGGCGCCAGCCCTGGCTTGTGGTACAGGTGCCCTCGGTCCTGCCTGACCCAGTGAGGCAGCTCTCACTCATGGACTCTTCCTTCCCTGCGGGACCCCGAGGCTCAGGCCTGGGGCGTCCCACCCGACACCAGGCTGACGCCCAAGCCCACGGAGGCCAAGCCCAGATGGGTCCCCTGCAAGGTGAGGCTGACCCCAGGTGAGCCCCACCCCAGGTGAGCCTCACCCCCAGCTCAGCCCAAAGCCCTGCCCAGCCCTGGCCCACGTGAGCCCGGTGCCGGGTGGCACTCTGACCGCCCTCCTTGCCGTCTTACTCCACGTGGACCCGCAGGACGTGGTCGGCGCAACACAGCAGCTGCACGGACTCCAGGCCGACGGTGTCCGGGTGGCGCAGCCGCTCCCGCAGCGAGTGCAGGCTCTTCTGCGTCGCCTCCCAGAGCTGCTGGGAGCTGCTCTGCAGCTGGAGCAGGAGTCGTCGGCACTCTTTGCCCTGGGGGTCCGAGGGCTCTGGGGCAGGGCCACAACCACACTGTGAGGGGCGCAGGGCTGCCCCACCTTCCAGGGAGCGCACACGGGCCCCAGGCGGTCACCTCAGGGCCAGCAGCACCCCACAGCCCGGAGCTGCAGGCAGGGTCCCGCATCCCTGGGGTCCTTGGGACGAGACTGGGAGCCCGTGTGCCCCCTGAGCGGGCAGGCCGGGGCGGTGAGCAGCCCCCTGAGGCATAAATACACACACTGTCCGCCTCCTACGGAACTGGGACAGCCCCAGTGACCTCGGGGCACCCAGCTCATTAGTGGCCCAAGTCGGCTTCCTGGGACCCAGAATGTGGAGTCCACGGGGCCCTGCAGTCCCTGCCACTCACAGGTGCGGGGCTCAGTGCCCTCCCCCCAACCCCAGAGGAAGGCACCTGCCCCGGGACTCTTCACAAGTGAGACCCAAGCTGGAGGTGACACGTGCCTTCCTGCCCTGCCCCGGGGGTCAGCAAGATAAGCACTTGGCCAGAGAACCCAGGCCTGTGCCTGGGAAGAGGTAGAATTTCATCTCCGGGCACAGCTAGGTCTGGACTAGGATGGGGTTCACGGCCTGGCCCCTCAGGGACCCCGGAGAAAGGAGCAGCCAGCCACTGGGGCCAGGACTGCAGTGGCGTCAGAAGCTGCAGCTCCGAGGGCCCAACAAGGTAAAAATCAGGCCCCTGGGACCATTCCCGAGCCCCCCTCCCCCGTTCTCGCCATCGGAGGCCCGAGACTCACCGGCCTCGAGCAGGGGCTGGAGGACCTGCCCGTTGATTCGGTCGAGGGTGGCCAAGAAGACCTCCTCCAGCTGCAGCAGGGCCTCCTCCTCGGGGCTGCACATGGCCGGGGGCCGGCCTCAGGGCCTGGGAACGCGCCCGGGTTGCAGCGAGACGGCACCGGGCTGCAGGCCCAGGGCCCGGCCTCTCGGGCACGTGCCAGAGTGAGGCCCGTGACCGCCCCCCGTCAGAACAGAGCAGTGAAGCCGGGTCACCTCAGAGAGGAGTCCCCACACTGGCCACTGCCCCCTGCCCACCCTCCGCCTGGGCCCGGCCGCAGGCAGCCCCAAGGAGTGGGGGGCAGGACTCAGAACCGCCCGCGAAGCACCCCTGGCCTGCTCGCTCCCGGGCTCAACCACCCGCCCTGGCTCCAGGGCTCAGAGCGACATCCGGAGGGGCTCTGAGCGAGCCCTCTCTCCGCTGAGTCTCTGGAAACCAGGACACGCTGTCCGCAGAGCCCAGCCTCTCTCCAGGCCGTGGTGCAGGCCCCCCTGTCCCCCAATAGGGCAGGGTAAGCAAGGCGATGTCTGGGGGGCTGGGGAGTTCCACTGGAGCCGTGGGGGGTAGGCAAGAAATAAAAAGGCAGAGAGGAGGACAAGGCATGTGGGGCGGGGGGACCATGAGAGCAGAGGCTCATGGGCATGAGGGCCCCAGCTCTGCAGGTGGCCCACCAAAAGCATCCTAAGTGGCCGACAGAGGAGCCATGGAGGACCTCAGAGCAAGGGACTAGTGTCAGTCAGACGTGAGGACAGCTGCACAGGAGACAGTGCTAAGCAGCGAGGGGGTGAGGTCAGGGTGTGTGGGGGCCCGACCCTCCATGCCCTCCAACCTGCCCGACCCTGCTGGCTGGGTTCTACTCAAGACGTGGGCACAGGCAGGTGGGCTCGAGCCTTTGCACTTCCTGCCCTGGAATGAGGGATCTTCCAAGCGGGCAGGGGGGTGACCTGACTGGTGACCCACCTGAATGCAGCCTCCCGACTGCAGGGAGGGACAGTGCGGGGCCTGGGCTCAAACTGGGCCCCACAGCCAGGCCACAGCCTGCCAGTGGACACAGCCCTCTCTCCCCAGACAATGGTGCCCTCACCTGGCCAAGGTCATCTGCCCAGCTCTGCCCTTCCCTGGCGCTGACGCTCTGAAGCTCTGGACTTAGATGACCTGGGTGGAGCAAGAGACACAATGCAGGCAGCCAGTGATGAGCAGGAGGAACGGAGTCCTGTCCCTCCGCATCCAGCCCCAAGGAGCCTACAACTCCCAGGACACTGATCTTAGGGCAGAGTGCGGCAGGCGCCTGGGAACTGTGGCGAAGGGGCGGGGCGGGGGGGGGGGCAGGCATTCCCACCCGCCGCTTTCCTGCTCCTGCTGCTTCGGGAGGGCGAGGCCTGGTGGGGAGGGGCAGGAAGAGGAAGTGGCTGGACGCCCAGCTGCAGGCTTCTCTCTCCGCAGGTCCCTGAAGCAGCCCCAAGAACCCCCACCCAGTCCCCAGAGGAGGGAGGCAGGTTGCTCCAGGTCAGCTCAGGCAGGCCAGCAGAGCCCAGCCAAGGGTCAGGGGTGCGGCAAATAGGGCCCAGGCCCAAGTGATCCTCACCCGTATCTCCAGAAACTGCTGGAATGGAAAGATCCTTTGGGTGGTGACCTGCCCGCCCTCAGCTGGCAGGTAGCTGGGGTCTGGGCTGAGAGATAAGGGCAGTGGCTAAAGGTGGCGGAAGGAGGGCGCAACCCGGATGGGGATGCGGACCGGGGACCAGATCAGGGTGAGCCGGGGACCTGCAGTAAACACCTCGCTGCTGGGAGCCTCGAACACCAGCACCCCCACGCTCACCTGGGGCCTGGCAGCAATCCCCCCACCCGCCCACCAATGCCACACTCAGGACACAGAGCCCTCTGCCCCCCTCGCTGTAGCTGGCAGCTGCCCCCCTACCCTGCAGCTGTGGCCCGTACCTCAGCTGCTCCCACAGGGCCGCCGGGCCCCTCCCCAGCAGTCCAGCCCAGCCATGCCCTCTCATCCGGGGCCCTGCTCCTCTCTGGCCCTCAGGCACCTCCTCTACAAAACGGGGGTCTGACTAGGTCAGAGCTCCTCGAATACTCAGATCTCCCTAAAAAGGATACACAGGGGAGGGGAGTGGCTCTGGGTTTGGGGACCTGGTCCTCAGCCTCCCTCACCTCTCAGAGCTGCCCGGGGCCCTTCAGGATGAGTCTCCCAGACCCGGTTTGCACACGCTACTCTGGGGCCCGTCCAGGTCTGTGTCCCGAAGGGGTCTCTAACCCTAGGGAACTGAGTCACACAGACCAGAGGAAAGGCCAGAGGTTAGGCATGGGTGGGGGCAGGCTGCCGTTGAGGCCGAGGGCCTGGGCCGGTGGCTCCCGGGTTAGCGAGCTTTGGGCTTCATCCCAGAGGTGAGGAGGGTGTGAGGCAGGGGTGAGGCCCCGCAGGAGTACTACGTATGAGCCTGTGAGTGTCTGCAGGGGAGGAGGAGGGGAGGTGCTGACCTTTAACAGGAGAGGGACCCAGCAGGAGTTGCCCCCTCTCTCACCCAGCCCCACTCCGATGGCCGGCTCACCCTCTCCCTCCATCCAGGTCTAAAGTTCCTTAGTGGCAGGCTGCCCGTGATGTACGTATGGGGAAACTGAGGCCCAGAAAGGAACAGGAGAGCCCAGAAACACCAGCTGTAGGCCTCTGGCTCCCAGTCCCACCAAGCTCACCTGAGCTAGGTAGTTCTGAGAAGCTGAGCAACTCACCTGAGGGCCCACAGCAAGGTCCTGGCGGAGCCCTGACTCCTACCTCCCCAGGCGGCCCTAGCACTCCCCAGGGGTGGAGTAAGCACAGAGCTGGCCAGTCCAGGCATGCCCAGGTGTGTCAGGCACCCGTCCCAGGTCAGTCTAACCAGCAGCGAGGTCTGCCCTCTCCCCTGCATTCCTGGCTTCTGGCCATAATGGGTCCCTCTCAGGCAAGGTCACTGGGGCCTCCCCTGCCCACTCGGAAGCCTGGCTCCTCTGACCCCTCAGCCACACCCTGTCAAGGCACCCATTCTGGTATTTCCTGGTCTGGACAGGCAAGGAAGTTCTGCTTGCTGTGGAGAATTTCTCCTGGGCTGCCCTGGGGTCCCCTTGATGAACCAGCAAGCCCAGCGGTAGACAGCTAGGCAGGGGCTGACCAAGGGGGTGGGGGCCTGGACACCCCCCCTACCATCCTCCCTCTCCCGCAGAACCCCTGCTCTGCCCCTTCGTGCTTCCCAGCTTCTAGTCCTAGAGGCTGTTCCACTCCCAGTCGGGTCACATACTTCACCACTTCCCCTCCTCTCCCGCCCAGGCACACGCAGACACTGGAGTTTCCCAAACATGGGCTCCTGTTCAGCTCCCGGGCACGAGCCCACGCGGTTCTCACCGCAGGCGACACCAGCCAGCGTCCCCTCCTCCGGGCAGTCTCTCGGGCTGGGAGAGGCAGAGCCCCTGCACCGCGGCCCAGGCCAAGCCCCAGGGCGACGCGCCCCCGTGCGGGGCCGGGCCCCGGGAGTGGGGGGCGGGCGGGAAGGGAAAGGGCTGCCCCTGCGCTGCACCTAAACCCGGCCAAGCCGGGTGACCACAGGGCAGGGAGGACGAAGCTTGAACTCCGCGGGGTCGGAGGGGACCTGCGGACAAACTCGTGTCGCCGGGACCGACGAGTCGTAGAGGGACTGCGACACCTCGGCCCGAGGGGGCGCAGAGGCGAAAGTCCCACTAGAGAGAGGAGAGCGCGGAGCAGAGGAGCCCGCCTACAGGCGCGCGCCTCCGCCGCTCTTACCTGCGTGGCGCCGTGACCGGTGCGGGGTGAGCCGGGCCGCGGTACGCTCGCCGCCGCCCGCACGCCGCGCCCGCCACGCCCCTCCGCGCCACGCCCTCGCCACGCCCCCTCCGCCATTCGCCACGCCCCCAGGAGTTCCTCTCACCCCCGGGAACAGCTCTGCATGCCGCGCCCACCTAGGAGGAGGTGGGAAGTGGCTTCCGTCTGCTGTGCGTCCTAGGTCTCTCTTGAGGTCTCCCTCCGGTGTCCTTCTGGGTCCGAAGGTTCCTGGGACCCAACGAGAGGGACAGAGAAAGGGAGGGGGTGAACTTGACCCTTCCGCCCCCCCCATACATGGCCACTGAAGCCACTCAAGCCCAAGCTCGCCTCACTTCCCGGGGCCAGGGCTCCGAGTAGAGCCGGAAGGGGCCTCGGTTTTCTCCTCCTAGCAGGGCCTTCCCGGTCCCCCCTCAGCCCCCTCCCCATCCTGATGCTCTGCTGGCCTAGGGTGCAGCCCATGGCCTTGACTCTCGCTGAGTCACAGAGGCCAGCACAAGCGGAGCACTGGGTGGGTTTTGTGAAACCTGTGGCCGTGAGTGGGGTAAACTGAGGCTGCCCCGCCACCCCTTGGACCAGGCGGCCATGGCCAGCCGCCACTCTTGTCTGTGACCTTGGGGAGTCCTCCTCCCCCTACTCCTGGGTCTCAACCTAGCCTGGTAGAGCATGAAGCCAGTGGTTGTCCACACCAGGGCCTGCGACCTTGAAAACGGTGGCGTAAGCCTAGTCCCGTGGACCTCCAGGAGGGGGAGGGACCAGGGTTGATGCCTGTAACAAAGGAGCCTGCTGTCTGACCCAGTCCCCCTCTGGCTGCTAGGCCAGCTTCCCATCACTTCCTGTAGCTTGCAGTTTCCAGGAGGTGACCAGACACACTGGGCCACCTCTGCCTCTTTCACTGCTGAGAACACCGAGGCGAAAAGGGCTGTCCAGAAGCAGGCAGTGCAAAAGGAAAAAGGGTGGCCCGCCAACCCGCTACTGAGGTCTGAGGCGGTGGCAGGCATGTCCCATCCCGCCGGGCTGAAGAGAGACCCTGGTGGAGGGGGTGCATGTCCAGTTCCGCGGGTTCCTTAGCAGATGGGCAGGGGCTCGGGAGGTCTGTGGGTCCCCTGGCACATGAGAGTAGACAGGCAAGGGGGTCTTTTGGGCTTGGGAGGAAGGGCCAAGGGCTGGAAAGTGTCCATGGCCACGTGGGGAGAGAGCAAGGTCATCCAGGAACCTGTGTTTGCACCACTGGCGACACACGGGGTAGGCAGGGCCCTAAGCAGGAGGAATCTCATCCTGTGCTGGGTGTCTCTGGGCCGGCCCGTCCCCTCTCTGGGCCTCAGTTTCCTCATCTGCACCTGTAGCCGAGGGAAGGCAGTGCCGCCGGGACTCGAGCAGGAAGGGAAGGGCCCCGGCGGCTTCCTCCCCAGAGCTCAGGCTTCCTGTTCGGCCACATCTGAGGGAATTGCAAGACTGGGGGCCAGTCTCCGCTCACCCGCTCCCCACTCACTGGGTGACCCCATGGGCATTGCCAAGTCCAGCTTTATTGTCTGCCAAATGGGTTATGACCGGCCCAGCCTCTCTCCCAGCTCATCCTCGGCTTGGGGCCAGGTAATTTGTAGTGGCCCGGGCAGTGCCCAAACGGCAAGCTCCTCTGGGTCCACCTACACTGGGCCACCTGCAGCACGGCCAATCCCACTCCAGCCCCACCCCCACCCCCACCCCCGCTTGCACGTCCTACACCACAGTAATGTGGTGGCGTGTGCACTCACTTGTGCCACACAGACCCATCTGCTATGGGACTCACTGGCAGGGCCTCAATGTTGCACAAGTCAGGGGCAGCCCTGCACACGGGCACAAGTGTGCAGACCATGTACACGTCCACGCGGACGCAGACGTACACACTGCTCCATGAAATGCATGCTGAGACTCACTCCCAGACACACAGAAGCAAGTGCACTTGAACTCCTGTGCACGCAAATGCCTTGGAACACAGGCTCGTGCTTATGCACACACACAGGTACCAGCCAGGCCCGGCCCAGCCCCAGAGCTATTCTGAGCCGGGCGTGGGGCCAGCAAGGTCAGAGATTGCCAGCTCCCAGCAGGCCCCGGCCGCTTGTCACAGGCCCAGGCTGCCCAGCCCCCACGCCCAGCCCAGGCTGAGTTCAAGATGCCCCAGAGCCCACCCTGACTCTGATGGGGGGGGGGGAGTCTTTGCTTCCTCTTCCTGTTCCCTCAGAGCCAAAGCTTAAGCCCTGGGGTTTCAGGCCCCAGGAGAGAACTCTCCACGGCGTCCCCTGCCCCTGCCCCTGCCGACTGACTCTGCTCATGGCTTCCAACCCAGAGGCGCTGGAAGCTGGACTGGGCTCCTGCAGGAAACCCACAAGAGCTAAAAATAGCACACGAGGGACAAGCAGGGTTCCGCAGGCCGGCTCTCATGCGACCATGCACAGAGGGGACACTGTCTTCCAGGGAAGCTAGGCTGGGGGGCTTGGGCGTCCAGAGCTCCACCACCCCGGACCTGTCGGGCCCAACTGGGGGCAGGGTGCAAGGGGACAGAGGAGCTCCGTGAGAAGTAGGAATAGTAGCGGACAGTGGGCTGAGCCGGGGCTTAGGGGCTGAGGACGAGTTTGGAGCCCCAGTTCCTGAGCGGCCGGAGGCGGGACACAACCCCCGCTCCGGGCCTCAATGTGTCGTGCGTGAACAGGGGAGAGGAGTAAAAGGATGAACAAGGCTTGAGCGTCCAGGGTGCTCCTCTCAGCACGGTGTTCGCTCTGGGAGAACCGGAAACAATGCAGAGGTTCGACAACGGGGTGGGGGGGGGGGTCTTCAGTGTCGTACGCCGTTGTGTTCAGTGGCAATGACAGCGAGGACCACAATGACTAGCATTTGCGGAAGGCCTGTGGTGTGCAGGTGCCATGATACCGCAGCCACACCCATTGTTACAGGTGACAGCTGAAGCTCCAGGAGGCGACGTAGCCCCCCAAGGACTCACAGCCGTCAATGGGAGTGTGCCCCAGAAGTCTTAGTTCTGAGCGTTAAAGCATCAGAGCCTTTAGAGGTTGTATAGCATGAAGCTACCGATTTACAAGAAACGTAATTTCCAAGTTTAATTACTTACATTCTCTGTTCATCTAGTGAATTTTGGATAATAACTTTTTTTTTCTTACCCGACGTTTGCCAAAGACATTTAAATAATGCAGCTTTCAAATGGTGTTTCTTGTAAATGTGTAGCTTTATACTTTGGAGGTTATTAAAGCTTAAAACTGCACCGAGACTGTCAGGACAGCCTGTGACTTTAAGTCAGTGTGACTTCACAGCCTGTGTGACAGTGTTTGACAGTGTTTGGGGTGCGGGTGGTGGGGGTGGGGGGGGAGCTAGGGTCCTTGTGCCGGGTACAAAGCCCCGGGGAAGTGTACGTGGTAAACAGCGCACAGTGAGGCCTCAGCTGTGTTCAGGAGCCTGCGGAGAAGTGGAGCCCCCTGGGAGCAGTGGCCGTTTCAGAGGACAGTGGGGACGTATGTGACTGTATTCCCCTTCAGGTTTCTTCACGGGGCTTGCCCTGCCTCTTGGAAGGAAAGATGGTGAACTTTATGAAGAAAGTGACAGCCCGCCCCTCCCAGGCTGAGCCATCCTGTCAAGGAGAGCCGGCACGCCCCGTAAAGGTGGCTCATACAACCCTCCCTCAGCCCTGGGAGGACAGTCCTGCCCTTGTCACCCCACAGGTGAGGACATGAAGTGCAGAGGAGTGATGTTATGCCCAAGGGCACTGTTAGTTAGGTCCACTAACCCCAGCCCAGTGCAGCCAGGTCTTCTCTGACCCTGTACCCCAAGGTGACCCCATGTCCCTGGCTGGTCAGTGTGGCCTTCCCTAGCCTGGCCCGTAACAGGGGGCGTGGGGAAGTGGGGCACGAGTGGAGAGCTGCAGCAAGTGGCTGGGGCTCCGGGGGACCCCTGTGTGCCTGGCAGCCTGGGGAGGATGGGATGGCCCGGCCCGCCCGGTCCCCTGGACGCAGCCACCTACTGGGGAGAGTCTCCTTGAGGGGGTCCCCTGGGCCGGCCGTGTCTGCCAGTGGCTCTCTCCTTTCCCTGCCTGCCCGTCATCTCCCAGTCGTGACACCTGCGCGTGTCTCAGGCTGGCCTGCCGCCCTCTGCTGCATCCGCCTTGGTCCTTGCCCATCTATGGCACCTCCCGGCAAGAGCCCCACGAGCCTCTGCATCCGTAGAGTACCCAGTTCTGAGGGTGGGGCCAAGGCCCAAAGCACCCCAGCCTGCTGGAGTTCAACACCTGAGCTGCCCCTCCAGCAAATGGCAGGCGGGAGATGAATGATATTGGGAGGAAGGAAGGAAGGAAAGGAGGGAGGGAGGGAGGGAGGAAGAGCGGGTGGGGAGAGGAAGGAAGATAAAGCAGAAGGGTCTCCCCACCCAGGCTGCCCACTCCTCTCCCACAGGCCTTTCCGGGTCCCACAGCCCTCAGGGCCTCCCTCCCTCCCCCCCTGCAACCCTGGGTTGTCAGGGCGCACCCTGGGCTCAGGACCACAGTGAGATGTGGGCCAGGTTCAGTGTGGGGTCAGGGTCAGGGCTCAGCTTTGGCAGAGGCTGAGGGTCAGCCGGAGTCCACTTTTCCCGGGGAGCCTACCCTGTCCTCCTAGCTGCAGATGCCGGCTCCCTCAGGAACCTTCCACAGCACCCACAGCCCGCAGCTCTGCCCGCGCTATGCCCTGCTCCCCATCCCCCACCCCAGCTCTGGTGTCCAGGGTGACCAGAGCCGCCTCTGGGCAGGAAGCCAGCCCAGAAAGCCCAGGACATCCCTGAGCGCCTGTCACCATGGCAACATGCCTGCCGTGCCCCCCTCCACCTAGGTCCAGGACAGTGTTTCAAATCCAGAACGTCAAAATGGGAAGGGCCTCCTAGATCAAGAGATTCCAGCCCCTCCCTTTACCCCAGATGAAGAAACTGAGGCCCACTGAGTGGGGAAGCGAGGGTGGGCCCTCCTCCGTCCAGGTGGTGGTGGGGGGGGTGGGTCTGGAGTCCAATCCTCCCGGCGGGGGCGGGGGCGGGCCCTTCCGCGGCTCCGCCGCTGTGGGGGCAGGCTGTAGGGGCAGACGGCACAGCAACCAGACACCAGCGATGAATAAATGATGCTCACTCGCAGCCTGCGACCACACCGCCACCGTCGAGCGCCAGCTGGCCAGGGGACCGTCTCCGGGCCTCCAAGCATCGCTGGGCTCCCGGACCTGCGGCCCTGATCAGCGGGCGGCGCGAAGATGGTGGCCGGGAGGCGGCCGGGCGCGGGGCCCCTCTGGGCGCTGGGAGGCGCTGCGCTGGGGGTGTGCCTCGCGGGGGTCGCCGGGCAACTGGTGGAGGTGAGACCTGGCGGGGGGCGGGGGCAGCTGGGCCGGGGGGCGGGGAGGGAGGCCGTCACCGTCCAGGCGGAGGATGGGGTGGAGGGCCTTTCTGACCGGGAGCTGCGTTTTCCTTCCCTCTCGCCCTGGGAGACCACCTGGCTTAGTGCAGTGACCTGCCCCAAACGCTTGCGGGCTGTGGGAAGACAGCCGCGAACCTGAGGGCCCCGGTGTGAGGGGAGGAGGGTTCAAGGACAAGCGTCTGATAGAGGACACTCACCCTGACCTGACCCTAAGCGTTCCCTGTCTGACTGGGGGGTGCGGCGTGCCGGCCTGATGGGGTCGCTCAGCACCTCTCCTCTAGCCTCAGGGTCTGACGAGGGCCCTGGGGAGAGGGGTGCACAGTCCTGTGGTCTGACAGGAAGACCTAGTTCCCGATCGGAGTGTCTGCTGAGGAAACCGCTTCTGCCCCCGAAGACTCTGCAGGGTCCCCATCCAGTGGGGCCGCCACAGCCTTGGGACGCCGGTGGGAGCACCCAGGCTGGAGGCCGGGGACGGGGGCCAGGAGACCCCTTGCAGAGCAGTCACCTGGTTTGAGTCGGACTGCTTGCCCAGCATTCTGCCCCCCAGGGGAGGGACAGGCAGGGCAGGACGCAGGGCCTTGGGCTCTGTCTTGGCCCTGATGATAACAGGGAGCTAGCAGAAGTTTCCGGAAGGGCAGAATCATGATGAGTCCCGGTTTGGACGGGAGAGAATGAATCAGAAAAGGGCACGTTGTTGGAAGAACAGGGAGAAGCTCCGAGAGCGCCCAGGAAGAGGGGAGGAAGATGGCTGGGCGGTTGGCGGGGAGCCTGGCTGGGGCCAGGAAGGGCTGAGAGGGGTGGGCTGGGGACCATCTGCAGCCTCCCTGGTCCCTCTGTACCCCATTGCTGCTGAGCCAGGAAGGGGGGCCGAAGAGGCAGACCAGACCCTGAATTGTGGAGAGTGAGGCCGAGGCAGGGCCAGGGAGGAGTGAGGGATGGAGCCCGGGGGGGTGGGGGAGGGTGCAGGGAGAGTGGGGAGGACTCAGGAGGGCCTGACGGGCGGGTGAGGGAGGCAGGATGGGAGCCTTATCTTGGGGGCCCGGGGGAACATAGCCCTGAACCCAAGGGTCCAAGGGACATGGGTGGGGACAGAGCCCTGTAGCTGGATGTGAGGCTACTGCTGCCATCGACCAGGGGGTGTGACCAGAGGGCTGGGCCAGAGTCAGATGTCAGCTCCAGTGTCCCTGTAAGGGGAGCCCGGCTGGCTTGAGCCCCATGGCATGTATTTGGGTCCCTCACTGGCTGCCCTGAGGCCTCAGGTGCAGAAGCCGAGCTGGCCTGGGTGCAGGAGGGCTGGGGGATGGGCAGGGGCTGAGTCAGTTCTGAGCCAAGGATTCTTCCCCAGCCCCCAGAAGCATGTCTTCTCCCAGCTCATTAAGGGAAATTGCATTGGGGGTCCACCTGCCTGCCATCATCCTACAGCCTGTGCCAGGGCCTGGCCCAGCCCAGGGGATCCAGGGAGGCACCAGAAAGATGGGCAGGGCTGGGGTCCGTGGCACCGCCCACCCCGGCCCTCCAGGCTTCAGCCCTCCAGGCTGTGAGGCGGCTCTGATGGAGGCCGGGACCTCCAAGCTCCAGAGTTCAGACCTCCAGCAGTGCCTGCCACAAGGAGATGCCAGCCTGCTACCCATTACCCTCTGCCCAAGCCCCTGCCACCACCCAGACGCTACTGACGCGTGCTGACCACACCCACAAACCTGTGCCTGACTGTGTGTGCCCCGCCCCCCATATGCACCTTAAACCACAGGTGTGCCTGACCCTGCATACTTGTGGTACCCGCCCCAGTTCACACTGGTTAAGAAAAAAGAGCCGGGAATCACGTACCAATCCTGGCACAAAGATCCTCTGGGTTACCAGGGACCGATCATCTCCAAGTGTCCCCAGCACATGCTGAAGGGTGTTTATTCAATGAGGAGGTGCCTGGCTTGTGGGAGGCACCCGGGCCTTGCTAACGGCCCAGGGGACACCCTGTGGGCTGCCTTTCCTTCCCAGAGAGCTGGAGAGACTCCCAGGTGTGTCCTAGTCTGCTTAACCAGGGGGCCTGTTGCAGAGATGTCTCAGGTTCCTCTCTCCTTCTAAGCACTAATTCCCATCCACGACCCCCTCAGCCAAACTTGGTGACAGAGGTCGTATCCCTGTCAGTCCCACGGATCAGGGACCACAGTCTCGATCAGACCCCTTCACCCGAACCCAGGGCAGGGCGTGTCCCACTGGGAAGGCAGAGGTGACTGGCACTGCTCTGCTCAGACTTGCTCCAGCCGTGCTTACATCTTCTGGCCTCCAGGTGTCGCTGCCGTACCGTGAACAAAAGATATGGTCATGCCTGGTAAAGACTGTGCTAGCCTTTGGTCAGAGGAAGTGACTCTGGCAGGGGAGGCAACTGTTGAGGTCACCTGCTGGGGGGCCTAGCCAGGTGGCAGAGTCCCAGGCCCGGACTGCAGCTCCACACCACGCCCCACACTGAGGGTACCTGACAGCAAAGTCCAGAGGGCAGCACAGGCCTTGAGTTGTCCCTGGCCTTGGTCCTGAGTCCCCATCTGCCTGTTGCCCCCCCACCCCCCCCGACTGCAGCAGCAGGAGAGACCCACAGGCTGCCTGAAAGGGCCTCGGACCTGGTGGGGGACAGGCTGTTCCCTTCTGTCCCCTTGGGCCTTGGTTTCCCCAAGCACCAACCACCCCTGCAGTCCAAGTCCTGGCTCCAGGGGGCTCTGCTCCCTTCTCTGGCTTTAAATTGGGACCTCCTCAAGGTCTAGGGCATTGGCCATGATTCCAGGAGGTTCTGAAATGCTTGCGCTGGGTCCTTGCTGAGACCCGGGTCTCTCCCAGCCCAGTCCCAGCCCAGTCCCGCCCCCGGCCTCTGCCCGGCTCACTGCCCTCTCTCCCTGTCCACAGCCCAGCACGGCTCCGCCCAAGCCCAAGCCGCCCCCGTTGACCAAGGAGACGGTGGTGTTCTGGGACATGCGCCTGTGGCACGTGGTGGGCATCTTCTCGCTCTTCGTGCTGTCCATCAGTGAGTAGCTGCCCCCCGCCCTCCCGACACACGCAGTGAGAGCTCAGCACCCCCGCCGCCAGCACCCCCCGCCCCCCCCGCCCCCCCACCAGGGGCTCAGGGCAGCAATTCCGGGCAGCGCGAGCAGGCCAGGCGCCCACAGGAGGCCTGCTGCGGCTTCTGGCACCTCCTGCTCCACACAAAGTCCCTGTGGAGGGCTGACAGGCCCGTGGTGACCCGAAGCATTCTCCCCAGCCGGGGATGCAGCCACATGGCAATTACGGTAATTACAGGGGACTCCAGGAACCAGGGCGAGGACGTGTCATTTTTCCCTATAGTGGGCCTCCTGATGCTTTTCCTGCCGTTTGGCCAGCTTAAAGGGCCCACACCCAGGGGCCCCAGCAAGGCCACCCTGGCCGCAGCTCAGCCCAGAGGCTCCCCAGATGCCCGGCAGCTGTGTCCCCCAGGCTGCAGACCCTGCCTTATCACATGCCACTGCCCCAAATGACTCACGCCCACCTCGGTTGACAGCAGGAGACCCCCTTGTCTCTCGGGACTGGGCACCCTGCTTTCAGTCCTCCTCCAGCCAGAGTCTGGATTTGGGCGGAGGGGGCAGAGAGATGCCAACTGCTGGGGCGGGGGGTGCACCATGGGACTGAGTCTGAGGAGTTTCCTACAGGCCAGAGGCAGTGGGGAGCAGCCCCAACAAGGGCTGCAGAGAGGAGGCGCCCCGGAGCTGCCTGTGGGGGAGTGTGGGAGGGGCTTCTGGGGGGCTGCCGGAAAGGTGCTCTGGACGGAAGGGATGGCGTGGGCATGGGTCTCGGCTAGCCCCTGCAGGATGGTGACAGGGGGCGCCCTAGGTCGGGGCTAAGGGCATTTCAGTCCCAGCGGAGCGGTCCTGGATGAGGTCCCCCGAGGGCAAGGCCCCCGCGGATGCAGGTGCAGGGCCCCAAGGGTGATGGGACACCTGATTTGCATGTGCTTCTCTTGGCACCAGAGGTGCCCTCCCTGTGAGAGAACGTCCACCCCCCCCAGCCCCCGCCACTGCTTCCCAGCCGGGTGGGACCAGGACCTGAGTGGGAGGCTGTGCTGTGCTCCCAGCCAAGGCTGAGGCCCGGTCAGGCTGCTGTGCAGGAGGGCCCCAGACAGACAGGCACAGTTCCGGTGTCAGGGCGGGGGCAGCATCTGCCCTGCTGGGCCCCGGGAGCAGTCGAGGGGGCAGGGGCAGGGGCTGCCCTGGGACGCCCCAGGGAGCAGGGGCGAGTGCACAGTGGGGCCTCGGAACACACAACGGCCTCTCTGGGGCTCTGCTCGGCCCCGCGTGGTGGAGGTGCCTGGGGCCCAGAGCGGCACTGGGACTTTAGTCACACAGGCCGCCCCGCATTTCCTAGAAAGGGTAAGGACGGCCCCGTAGGCCCCCAAGGCCCTCACTGGGTACCTGCTCGCAGGGCCCGAGGGAGCCGGGATGGCACAGCCTGTCTCCGGAGGAGGGGACAGCTTTCCTGCTCCCTGGTCCACTCCAGCCTGGGAGGTGCAGCTGCTGGAGGAGCGTCACCCCCAGGCCCGTGTGAAGAGGGGCTGGGCCTGGGTGGGGTGCCTCTGGGGGTCTCCTCAGCCTGGGGCCTTGTATCACAAGCCCCTGCCTGGCCCTGGAACTCAGTCCAAGGCGCTGCCCAGAGAGGGGCCAGGTTTGAGCCCTGTCTGCCCTGGCCTCCTGGGGCTGCCCTGGGACTCCCTGGACGCCCAGGCCTGCCGGGTCTGGAAGCCATGCTGGGGAGAGCCCCCGAGCCTGCGTGGGCCCGAGGAGGTGCCCCGTGGGTGGCTGGAAGAGGCGGCCCAAGCCAGTGGGGTTGGGGTTGGGAGAGCCACCTTGGGCATCGGGCATGCACACCGGGGTCTGGAGAAGGCCAGGACCCAGGGCTTCGGGTCAGAAAGGCCCGCTGTCTGCCCAGGTCTCCCCGCAGAGAGCAGAGTCCCCTCAGACCTGCTTGGGGGCTCACACAGCCCCTCTCCAGAGTGGTCCCGGATGCTACTGCCCACTCCAGACATCCATTCATTTGGGCGTCCGGTCTTGTCCTCAACAGCAAAGGCTTTGAGATGATCTTTCTCACCCATTCATTCATTTTTCCTCTTTCATGCTGTGAGTCTGGGTGAGACTCGGTGGGGCCGTAACGTGTGGCCAAAGTTGCACAAGATGCCTCCAGACGGTGCTCCAGCCCCAGCCACGTAGGTCTGACCCACCTTCCCCAAAACACGCCCGGCTTATCCTGCCTGGCCTTCCTGTCCCCAGGAGTCTGCCAAAAAGTCACGTCTGGTCATCTGATTTAGAATAGGAAGTAGCTCCGGCCCCTCTCCTGAGGCTGGGGTCAAGGTGGTCAGACTCAGAGTTGGGGGGTGGGGCTCAGAAAAATAAACTCGGTCCGACCAGGTCCTGGCAGCCCTCCCCTGCCCTGCCGTGCCCTTCACCAGACCGGCCAGCTCCTTGCCCTGGCCCAGCTAGCGTGGGCGCAGCCGCCCTCGGCAGGAAAACCGCTTCTGGAATAACTGTCTGAGGTGAACGCCCCAGGGCAGGACTGAGCCCGCTCCGCTGTCACAGCCAGGCGGAGCCCAGGCTGGGCCTCTGGGAAGCTGAGGAGGGTGCAGCTGTGTCCCCCGGGGTCTGAGGCCGCGCTGGCTCTGCTCTCAGGGGCCTGGGGAGGACAAACTGGGACGCACACGGAGCCCCCGGGCCCGGGCTGGAGGCACAGCGCAGCTGTCTGCCCTGCTCTCTGGGAGCTCTCAGTCCTGAGGGTCCAGGATCAGGGACGGGGCCGCGCCACACGGAAACGTGAGACCCCTGTTCAAGACTGGTGAGGATTTCACAACAGTGAGAGCAGAGCACTCACCCAAGCACCAGGCCCTCCTCAGCGTGGGCACTGCGTGAGTGCATGGAGCCAGCCCCGCTCAGGAGAGAGCTTTGCAATCCCGGGGACCACGGGGGGTTTGTCACAATGCAGAGCCTCCTGACCCGGCCTCTTGGGTGGGACACACCTAGCTAGATGAAGAGACGCGCCTGAAGCCTGGGGACCGTCCTGGGTGTCTGAGCTCCGGCCCCGGCCAAGCCCACTCTGTGCCCACCCCCCCAGTTATCACCCTGTGCTGCGTTTTCAACTGCCGCGTGCCGCGGACCCGGAAGGAGATCGAGGCCCGGTACCTGCAGCGCAAGGCAGCCAAGATGTACACCGACAAGCTGGAGACGGTGCCGCCCCTTGACGAGCTCACAGAAGTCCCTGGAGGTGAGCAGGCCAGGGCCCCTGCCCCCGCCTGACCCTGGCGAGCCAGCTGGTTCCTCAGACCTGCCGCCCAGTGGATTCAGGGAGGGGACCCAGCTCTGCCCCTGGACACCAGGGGATAGAAGCTGGTCAGAGGGAGGCAGGTAAAACGAGGAGGTACTGTGCAGTGAGGGAGAGGCATGAAAGAGAGAAGGAACCTTCCTATCTGTGGAGGGTTGGATGTGGGAGGCCGTGGCGCGGGCCTCAGGATGCCGACTCCGGCCACACGTCTCTTTGCCCCACAGGTGATAAGAAGAAAAAGAAAAAGGACACTGTGGACACAGTGGCCATCAAGGTAGAGGAGGACGAGAAGAACGAAGCCAAGAGCAAAGGATAGAAATGGGGACGGCCTCCTGGAGGCGGCAGCCGGGCCTGGCAGGCAGGCCTGGGGCTCGGGGCCTGGCCGGGGCCCGGGTGTCTTGGACCTGAGAGCTCATCCACAGGCCACAGAGGTTGTAGACCATCCTCTCTCTGCTCAGAGGGAGTTGCTGAGGCCCGTGGCCACGTCCTGATGGCCCATCAGGGGCAGGGACAAGACCGCAGGTGTCCTGCCCCCCAGCCTGGACTCCACTGCTTTCACACCATCCTCCTGGCCATGCGGCAACGTCGGTCTAGGGTCACCGCGCCTCTGCAGGTCCAGAGCAGCCTCCCAGTCACCGCCTCTCCCCTCTGGCAGAGGGGCAGAGCAGCTCCCTTTGGAGCCCCCGCCCCCAGACATGGCTCCGTCCCACCCTTTGGCCAGAAGCAGCAGTGGCTCCAAAGGGGCGATGGGAGGTGGGTTCGCTCCGGGAAAGACGGCTGGACCGGATGCACGCCGGAAGCTGTGGCAGCAGGAGGTTCTCAGACTTGGCTGGATAGCAGCCCTGGGGCTGAGGGGTCTGGCCCGAGCCTGGTGGGGGTCCTGGCCTGGTGGGGTGGGCAGAGGTGGCCAGAAGCAGGAGCACCCCCAGCCCAGCCAGCTGAGCTCCCGGCAAAGACAAGCACTTACTCTACACGTTGTCATGGAGCTGAGGCTGCTGGGAGGCCGAGAGGAGGGGCCGGGGCTGCCGGGTCGGGGGGCAGTCACGGACACAGAAGGCCGAGGCCAGCGGGGCAGGGGGAGACGGGAAGAAAGCTGGCACCTGGGCCCCATCCTAGGAATCCAGGGAACATTTGAGCAGTCTGGGGCGGGGGTGGCCCTCGGGCTGCTTGGGGACCCTTTCTCTGCTCAGCTGTGGCAGAAGGGCTCAGGGCCCTGCAGGACCCCCGAAGAGGGCAGCTAGGGGTGCAGGCGCCTCCTTCTTCTGTGGAGCATTCTCAGCAACAGTGCCTAGAAGGGGCACTGCTGACCGGAAGGCGCGAGGGCCCCGGGAGACTGGCCCCCCGGGAGGAGAGGTGCACAGAGGGGCTGCCAGGGCGGGGAGCAGTCGCTGCGGCCTCCCCAGACCTGGGACTGGAAACTGAGGAGAGACCAGGGGTTTCTGAGCCAGGGGAGCTGCTGGAAAAGCCCCCGCTGCCCTGCACCACCCCCCACAGGTTTGTAAATAAAGCTCAGTGCCTTTTCATACCCGAATGACCGGGCGTGACCCCTCAGGACACCCCATCCTGGGGCATGCATGTGAGGGCCGACGCATCTACTGGTGCCGGGTGCCAGAGGCGGGTCGAAAGTTCCCTCCCCTGACTTCCCTCCGAGCCAGAATTAGGATGAGCTGCAGGGAGAGGCGGTGACGGAGAGGCGGAGGGGCGGAGGGGCACCTCCCGCCAGCTGGGCCCAGCCGAGGTGGGGCCTCAGGGCCCCGGGGAGCAGCCGGCTCTCCCCTCCCCTCCCCTCCCCTTCTCCCCTTGGCTCCCAATGGGCCTCGGATGGCCTGAGCCCAGTGCCGGGGACACCCAAGAGTCAAACCAGGACCCTGACCAGGAGCAGTGAGGGGGCAGAGGGTTGTGGCAAAGGTCATTCTGTCCCTACAGACCAGAGCCCTCCTGAGTGTCTGGGCAGCAGATGCCCAGAGGGGCAGGGGCCACTTGAAGTCAGAGGAGCAGCTGGTAAAGCCTGGGGGGTCCAGGCCCAGGCTTCCTGACCTCTGACCTGGGCCCCTAGGAGCCCTTTACGGACGGGCAGGGCTGCGGATGGCCGGGGATAATTTCCGACCCCAGGGGGCGCCTGCCCGGTCTCCAGGGAGAGGGTGGCCCTGGAAGGTCCGAGTCCACTACGGGGCTTCAAGGCAACGACAGGGTGTGTTCTAGCCACCGGCCAGGAGCCGGGCTGAAGTCAAGCAGAGCCCGACTCCTACTAGAGTGTTCCCGACCGAACACGCTCAGCTCCCCGGCCCTCTCAGAGCGACGCCCTCGCCCAGCCTCACGCTGTGTTCTGGCAGCTCCATGCTCGGCCCGGGCAGCGTCACCGACCCCGACGTCACCCCTGCACGCACGCTCCCTCCCTCCGCCTTCCGCAGGAGCCGCCCCGACCTCAGGACAGAGGCGGTCCGGAGCCTGGGCACTCTGCAGTGCTGGAGCCCCCGCCCCCGCCCCGCCCCGTCTGGTCCAGCCAGCTCCCTCTGGAGCGGGCCCAGGGAGTGAGGGGCCTCCGAGGCCCAAGGAGGAGGAGGCGTGGGAAAGAGGACTGTTTAATTGAGCATCGAGCCCCTGCCCTGCCTTGTGGGGGATGGGAGAGCGGCGCCCGAGGCATTCTGGGTACAGAGGCGAAGGGGCCCCAGGGCCAGCCGAGCGGGTCAGCGGGCAGCCAGGAGGCTCAGGGGCAGCGGCAGTGCCAGGAGCAGGACCCCGGACGGGGCCGGCAGAGCCTGCCCGTTCATGCGCTCCCAGATCCAGTGTTTGTAGGAGGAGATTCGCAGGTAGATGGGCGGGGCCTCCTTCTGGCCGCAGCCTGGGCCCCAGCTCACCATTCCCGTCAAGTACCACGTGTTCTCCACAGGACAGGCCAGGGGCTCCCCGCTTATCTCCTGTGGGAGGGGCGAGAGGGTCGGGGAGGCGAGCTGTGGCCTGAGGGAGACGTGTCCCAGCTCCGGGGCCAGCAGGTGTCCCCACACCAGACCTGCCCCACAGTCCCCAAGTGTCACATGGCTGAGAGGGGCCCGGGAGAGCTTCCACAGAGGGCTCCGTCCCCTTCTTTAGCCCACCCTCCTCCATCTTCCACCGCCACACTACCCCCTCTCCCCCTAGACCCCCGTCTCCTCCCCCCACCCCCTCTCCTCTTCCCCATCTGCCTGCTTGTCACCCGGCTTGTCCCCTCCTCCCCCTCCTCCCCCACGCCCCAGCCCCCCCCCCCCCCAGGCGCCCCAGAGTCCGCGAGTGGAGGCGCAGGGCTCACGTAGCAGAAGTGCTCCCGGTCGGTGTCCTCCGCACACAGCATCTGGGTGTTGATGATGCGGACCACCAAGGAGATCCCGGAGAACTTGTGGTAGAAGCCATCACACTGGTTGCTGCTCAGGATGGTGACTTCCTTCTCCTGAATGGTCCGGGACTGGGGCCACTTGCCTGTGGGACAGGGGCCCCGCTCAGGCTCGGTGACCCCGCCGCTGCCCACCGCTGCCGGCCTTGTCGCCGGCCTCCCTCGGCCCCTCGTCACTCCCCCAGCCTCTTCCGCCTGCCACCCAGCAGCCCTGGAGGTCTCTCCAGGTTCAGCCCACCTGCCGTGCCCGCTGACTTTTCCCGAGCACCCCTGGGGATAGAGACCGCGGGGCGGGCCGCCCGCCATCCGGCCTTGCTGGGCCTCACCCCCTACAGAGCCCATTCCGGCCTCAGCATCTCAGCTTCGCCTTTCCTTCCACCCTGAGTGCCTGCCAAGCCCCCCCACCCCCGGTTCAAATCCCTTTCCTGCACACCCTCCTCACAGGCCTCTCCCCCCAGGGAGCTTGCCAGACGCCCCCGCCCCTCCCCCTGTCTGGGCCCCTAGCCTGAGCTAGGAGACAGGAGCCTTCCAGCCCCCCCCAAGCCATTCCCCGGACAGGCCATGACAGGCGAGACCAAAGAGCCGCCCTCTCCTCTGGGCTGGGACCCCTGTGGGGCGTTTTTAGGTGCGTTGGCTACGTGAACCTACAGGGAAGGGCGGCTTTCTAGGGGGGACAGACAGGGGGGTCCTGGAAGGGAGTCGACGCTGCTGGGGCTTGTGAGGAAACGGGCCCCGGATGACCGGGGACAACGCTCCCACTCCCTGGGCCTTGCTCCTCGGGTGGGGTCACAGGGGGCTGAGGGCCACTGGGGGCACCCAGAGGGACTCCCAACCTCTGGGTGCAGGCTGTGCTGGGCCGGCCATGGGGGCCCCCTCTGGGGAGCTTTTCACAGACACAGAACCCCGCCCCTCGCACTTCGGAGGACCTGCCTTGAGCCACAGCCGCCCCGGGACGGCGCGGGCAGCACAGCCTCCTCTGGGCCCCTTCCGCCCCAAGGACGTCCCGTTTCCAAGCCACAGCCCGGGCCCCCGTGTCCGCTGAGACCCCCTACGGCCTGAGTGACCGTGGCGTGCTCACGATGGGAACCCTCCAGGGGGAGGAGACGCTGGGTGCCAGGGCCCAAAGGAAGGGCAGGGCAGGGGGCTGGCGGGAGCCGCGTCTCGGACAGGTCTGTCCCTGCAGACCCCCCAGCCTGTGCCCGGGCCCTCTCCCGCACCCCCACCCCACCCACCACCGGTGCGGGGAAGCTGCGACTCACCGTTCACCCTAGGGAGTCCCCAGCCCGTCACAGTGCAGAGGGAGTTGGTCTTCACTATGTGCTCCATCTCGGGCAGGCAGATGGGCCAGACGTACTTGCTGAACGGGAGTTCCCACTGCAGCTGGAGGAGGGCGATGTTGTGGGCCTGGCCAACCCAGGACCACAGGCGATGGGTCCGGTAGCGGCTGTGCACGATGACCTGGTGCACGGGGACTTCGGTGGTGGTGGGAGCCACCTGGTCCATCTCGGGGCTCCCCACGAGGACTGAGTAGTTAACATCTTTCCTACGGAGACCACCCAGGGAGTCCGCCATCAGCTCCAGGCACCCCCGCCCGGCCTCCACCCCACTGCCGCCCTCTGGGAAGATCCAGGCAGGCCGCCCACCGGCTGCAAGCCCAGAGCCTCTCCTCACAGCGGGCGGGTCAGGGCCCTGCACGCACGGTGTGGTCATGTCCTCAGAACCACCCTTCATCTTGATGGAGGGGGAAACCGAGGCTCAGAGAAGCCCAGTGACCAGCTCAAAACCACACGCGGCTAGGAAGTGAGGGAGGCGGGAAGCGGACCCAGCTTCCTCTGGTTCCAAACTCGGGGTTCTGTCCAGTGGCCCCGGGCTGGGCCCCGAAAGTGACAGGGGCCCCATGCAAGCAGCCCAGGCTTCCCTTCCTAGGGTGCCCCTGCAGTCTCGGTGTCAACTGTTAGGCTTGGACGCTTTGGCCCCGATCAGTCCCCAAGGCCACTCCCCCGGCACCGGAGCGGTGCGTGCCTCCTCTCCTTTCCTGTCTGTCTCCCCAGCAACCCCGGGAGAAGCGACCTGTCCCCTCTCGGCCCCCCAGTGCCCAGGCCAGGGCCTGGCTCCCAGGGCGTGCCAGAGGCTGTTGGTTGAATGAAGGACGGAATGTGTAAGCGAAGCAAAGGGTGTGGGATGAAAGAGCTAGGCCCTTCTCCCTCTGGACCGAAGGGAGGAGGCCCAGACCACGGCTTCCAAGCCCCCATTTCCTGTCGGGAAGACTGCGCAGGACCGAGGGGCTGGGGGAAGGGGGCGAGCTCCTGCTCCCAGGAAAGCATCTGTAGAGCTCAGCCCCCTCCTGCTTGGACCTGGGGCGAGGCTGGGCTAGGGCTGCGGGGCTCTGCCAAGGGCACCGCTGTCACTGAGGGGCCAGCTGGAGGGAAGGCCGGGCCCCACGTGGCTCCAAATGCTGCTCCGCCCGCCCACCCGGCCCCGACTCACTGCATCATGCAGTGGGCCACGGTCAGCACCCACTGGGAGGCAATGAGGGTGCCCGCGCAGATGTGTGTGTCGTTGGCCCGCAAGCTGACCATCCACGGCCACCGCCGAGCCATGGCCTCTGGGTCCCTGAGGGTGGGGTCCTTCTCCTGGGACATGCCGCAGGCTGAGGAGGAAGGGGAGAGCTTGGTGAGGGAGAGGACCTCCCAGCCACATGCCACGGCACCCTCTCTTCCCCTGCCCTCGGCCCCACCCTCCGCCTCTCAGCCTCTGGCCGGAAACTGTCCCATGACTCTCCTTTCTACTGGGCATCACGAGACGGTGCGGTCTGTCCCCGTGTGCCCTGGGGTAACTGACCTCAGAATGGCCTCAGTGCTCCCCAGGTGTCCCTCTCCCTGTCCCCACTGCACCGGCCCCAGAGCATTCCCACTGGCCCCTCAGTCCTGGCCAGAGCCTTCACACACTCATCCCGGTTTCCACCTGGCCCCCCCTGCTTCAGCCAAGGAAGACCCCTCTCCCTCGCTGGACTCCCCGGAGCCCACTCCAGTCATTGGGAGAAAGGCAGGCAGATGACCTAACAGGAAAACCAGCGGGGTGCATGAACAGACACAGCCCAGGAGCACACCCCCGCAGCCACGGCCAACAGGGAGCCCCAGCAGCCCTCGGGAAGGGCGGGGCCGAATCACAGTGAGGCTCCTCCCACTCCACACGCCTGCTGGGCCAGACGAAAACGCCCCCGCTCCCGGTTGGTGATGGGGACTCTCGCCTCAGACCGCCCACTCTGCTGGAGGGGTGTCGGTGGGTGCAGACTCTTTGGAAAGGATTTTGAACCGCAAATACACACAGCCAACATCACGGAAGCCCCACTGCCAGGTGTGCTCCAAACGGAGCAGTGGCTTGTGGCACCGGGGTAGAGGGGCCACGAGCGGCGTTTGTAAATGCTAACCCAGGAGAACACCGGCAGAGCGAGCGCGGCTGCGTCCTGCGTGTGAGGCCGGGGGTGGCGGTTAAATGGTGTGAGCTGAGTTCCAGGACAAGGAGCGTTTCCCTCTGGGTCTCCGTTGCACACGCTTGAAAGCCACTGCTCAAGACAACGCTGGCGTGTGCGCCCAGGACACCCGCAGGAAGGCTCCCTGGGAGCTACGCTGGAGACCCTCCACCCCCGCAGTGCGTGTCTGGGAGCCAGGGGCACTTCCTGTGCCTTCTGCCTCACCGGATGGGAGGCCGGGCCCGTACGGATGCTCACTCAACACTTGTCCCCCGGGATCAAAGGTTCGGAAGACTCCTCCAAGCCCCCGCCCGGATGGAGTGAGTCCACACAGTACTCACTGAGTGGTACGACTTGAGAAACTTGAGAAACAGGGCTCTCCGTGGTCGGCAGGGTCATGGTCGGCAGGGTCGTGGTCGGCAGGGTGGTGGTTGGCGGGGTCAAGGTCGGCGGAGTCAAGGTCGGCGGGGTCAAGGGTGGCGACAGAGTGGTAGGGACCTGCCGTGGGAGGCGAGGCCCGCCTGAGGGACAGGTGGCACTGCGGGCACAGGGGGCGCCAGAGTCGCGGGGAACAGCCATGGACCCTGACCCCAGGGCTTCGCCTGTGCCCAAGCAACCTGTGGAAGGGTGTGCAGAGGGTCAGAAGTGGACAGCGACGCCCTGAAGTGAGCAAGGGGAGGGGGAGGGCGGGCTCACCCTCCGGCCTGAGCAGCAGCAGCAGCAACAGCAGCAGCAGCAGCAGCCCAGCCTGGGCCAGGGAGGGCGCAGATGTCTTGCGCCAGGGCTCCATCCCGGGTCTGCAGCAACTGCGCCTGCCCCGGAGTTCCTCTTGTGATGGCGCCCGCGCACTGGCCGCCGTCCACGGCTCCGGGTGTGTGGTGGATCCCGGCGTCCCTGGTCCTGGTGCACGCGGCGCCCCCCTGCGGCCTTCCGCGATGGTGCTCCCGGGGTTCCGCCCGCAAGGGCGCCCCCTAGTGACTGTCCTCCATCATACCTGCCAGACCTGGAGGGCGCGCCAGTTGCCTGGTTTCTGGTCCTGCCTGCCCCCCCCCCCCACCCGTTTCCTCGTACCACTTGGCCAAATAGTTTTCTGGAGCCCCTCAACTCCCCTCGCCAGTTCCTGTACTCACCGGCTCCTGCGGCCCACTGCCCTGGGCTAGTTTCGTGTCTCCATCCCTCCCCTGGAGAGATGGCCCAACCCCTGGTTACTGAAATTAAGCAGATTGAAAGTTTTCAGTAAAGATTTTTAAAGACTGCACAATTTTGCCCTGACCGGTATGCCTCAGTGGGCTGGGCATCATCCAGCAAAGTGAAAGGTGGCCGGTTTGATTCCCGGTCAGGGCCCATGTCTGGGCTGCAGTTTGGTGCCAGCACATGCAAGAGACAACCAACCGATGTTTCTCTCACACACTGATGTTTCTCTCCCTCTCTTTCTCCCTCCCTTCCCCTCTCTCTAAAAATAAATCCATAGATAAGTAAATGCATCTTTTTTAAAAAGATGACATACTTTTAAGCAGCGCACCACCCTCCCCAATCCAACCTCCATTCAGCAAAGACCCTTCCCTGACAAACCCACCCACGTGGGGACGGTGGCACGGGTGAGGCTCCTGTCCCCAGAGGAAGAGTGGCGGTGACCGTCAAGCCCTCCTGGGAGCGGAAGGCCACTGTGTGTGTTGGAATTCGGGGACCACTTTGATGGCGCAGGGACATAGATGGGTAATACAGTTAAAACGCCGTGTGGGAGAGAGCCTATGAGAAGCTTTGGTTCAAAGGCGTTGGAAAATTCTAGCCTGATAAAAAAATAAGGTCAAAGTTCAATCACACCAGGGCAGCCTAACTTTTGCCAGGGCCTGCTGTCCTGGGAGACACCCGGGCCAGCCATTCAGCGCTCCCGTCTCCGAGAAGACAGCGAACCTCACTCACTACCTCTCTGGGGCGCACGGGGCAAGGGCAGCCGCCCGCTCGGAACCCGAGGCCCGCCAGGTCTGAGGGACCCCATGCCCCCTCCACGTACACAGGGGCAGGACTCTGGCACCTCAGCCTGGCAGGCTTGGGCCAGCCTGTCCTCGCTCTCCAGCGTCCGATGGAGGTCCCCGAGGCAGCCCAGGGGCTCAGGGGGCAGTCGCCTCACGCGGCTCACTCAAGTGCGTGCTCTGCCTTGCCTTCCCCACCCGCACCAATGCCCATCCCTGCCAGGGAAGGAAGAGAAACCGGTTAGGGTCTGTAGACCCTTCGGGGGATATGAGGGGTCGGGAGAGGCCGCAAGTGCAGGTGTGGTCTTCGTGTCTTCATGAAGCAGGAATTCCTGAGGGCAGCTGTTGGTCAGAGACCCAGGGGTGGGTCCTGGGGGCCTGCGAGCGGGGCCATCTCTGTAGGGGCCCAGACAGAGTCAAGGAGAAAGACGATGCCTTCGGTGGCAAAAAGTACAAAAGCATCTTCATTGAACAACTGAAAAACCAGTGGCTCGGGGACCCTCCCCCAAGGGCACTCTGCCCCTTCGTCCCATCCCCGCACACCACCGCCAGCCTCCGCTTCTCCTGCGGGGGGAGGGGAGGGAGAAGCGGCCTCCAGAGCGGCCGCCTGGACACAGCGCTCACAGGAGCCACAGGGAGCCCAAGGAGACCAGCAGGAGGTAGCTGGTGCGGAAGACCGGGCTCGGCAGGGCAGAGCAGGCGCTGCTGATGAACCTCACGTCGGAGATCTGCCCCTGGATCCACTGGGTGAAGTGGGCGGTGCTGGTGTACACGTCGGGGAACTGGTGCCGCTTGCAGCTGAAGCTCCAGCTCTCCACCCCCACCTGAATCCAGGTCTTGTTCAACTGGCAGACCATGGAGCTGCCGGAGTTGCTCTGTGGGTGGGTGGGAGGAGGGCGCCATAAGGGAGGGAGCAGGAGGGTCGCACCCCAGCCCCTGGAGGAACTTGCCCCTTCCCGGGCGCAGCCTGAGCATGAGCTGCGCTCACCCTAACCATGATGATGCGAGCTGGCTATGAACAGGCTCTGGGACACAAGGACGCTGCCCTGGACGGTCCCCAAGCTGGGGACCATGCTGGCCCTTCCCTTTACCCTCTCTGACCTTCACTCCCCGGCCCCACCTGTGCCCTCCCCTTATATAAATAAGGTGGTGCCCTTGACTGTTTTCTTTCGGGCAATCCTGCTTGCAGAGTGAGCGATCTGAAATGCGATCCAGCCCCTGCTCTTTTTGTGCAACGCTGGTGCAAAGATAAGGATGATGCTCACCACGGCATAGCTCAGTCAAAAGGCAATTCTAAAGAAAAGGTGATGGCTATTCTTTCTGCTGATGGTGGGTTTATGGTCTTTTAAACACTGTCTTTATACTTTTCTGTATGGTTGGGGAGTAATAAACTAGAACACCAGAAAAATAGTTCTCTCTCTGTAGATAGAGGCACAGATGATATCGATTTTTTAAGGTAATGCAAACCAAGACTTACAGGACAGAATCTAATGAGCACGCATAAGACACTTAAGGGGGGAAATGACAAAACTAGACCTGAAGGCGCAAACAAAGACCTACGTGAACGCCCTAATACGCCCCTATCCGGGGGTGAGTCGGCTGAAAACAGCCTGCTGGTACCAACTCTCGGCACTGGGCTTCCCACAGTATGGAGGCCCCGCCCAACCTCGAGAAGGTAACTAAACATTTGCGAGGATCGTTTTAAATGCATAAGTGAGCTGGCAGGAAAAGAAAGATTCCTTGGAGTCCAAAACCCAAGAGAGGGCTGAAACACGGAGCCCCTGTTCTGTCTAAAACCAACTAGAGGTCGCCACTTAGCGCACCTAAGGAAACCCTGAATATTAAGCACAGAAAGAGAGTTGAGGGGAATCTAAGGGTTTCCTAGTCTGCATCACCCAGTTGCCAGCTCCCTGATAGTCTGGGGGTACAGGGACCCCATCCCCCAGGTGCACCAGAGGAAGGAGATTGGTGGGGCGCAGTGAGGTTTAAATCAAGTCCATTTTCAGACTGAGACTTACAATAGGACAGGGTGTTTCATGATTGACAGTGACTGGCAGTTATGGGCTCTGCCCATGATGATTTTTAAAAAATTTTTATTTATTTATTTTTAGAGAGGGAAGGGAGGGAAAAAGAGAGAGAGAAAAAAAAACATCAATGTGCAGTTGCTGGGGGCTGTGGCCTGCAACCCAGGCATGTGCCCTGACTGGGAATCAAACCTGCAACACTTTGGTTCGCAGCCTACGCTCAATCCACTGAGCTACGCCAGCCAGGGCTTCCCATGATGATTTGACATAGGGCCCATGTGGGCAATAACTTGAAAGAATGAGACCTCTTAGCATGGACTCCCTAACACACTGAGACATCTCAGCAAACAAACGCAGGAAAAGGAGACAGAGCACAGTATCATTTATGCCAATTGAAACACACAGATAGCAACACTACGTATTTCTCAAAGACATAAGCATCTTTAAAAACATGTATCAAACAGATTGGCGTGGAAGCCTTTCGCAGGGAGAAAAAAATGTAAGGTGAGGGGGAAACCAAGCTGGCGATGATCGTGTTGGGGGTGTTTCCCTGAGAGACAGAGTCGGCGGAGCCCAGCGAACTCAGAGAGAGAATGGGGGTAGAGGGCAGCGAGAGAGATTCTTCTTTGTGGGCATCCTCTCATCAAAGTAACATACAGCCAGGACCCAATAACAAAATGTGAACCACTGCGTCACAGGAAGACAGAAATAAACATTCAAAATGTTAAAGTAAAAACAAAATTAAAGTCCACCGTTAGGGTGTAGAAAGGTAAGAACACACTGTACCCTGGAGCCCATGGGCCGTGGGCCTGAGGTACACACGAGAGTCCTGGTCTAAATACTCTGAAGATCAAATGAGAGAGTTAATTATTTATCATCATCAATTCTTCATCACTGCACAGTCAGCGCAGGCCACTTGAAAAGGAACTCGTAAAGGCAAGAGGAAGACACTCACGCGCTGGAAAGCGGAACAGTCAGAGGCCTAAGAAATGAAACCGGTAGCTTGTCCTTAAAAAACAACAGAAGAGATAAGCACCTTGTACGTCTTACCAAGAAAAACAAAGAGAAGGAAAATGCAAGTAACATGTGGTGTGAGGAGAAGAGAGATGAGAACCACCTCCAGGGGGAATACATTTTTGCAGAATCTGAAGACTGTTTATAACTTCCTCTGTATGGGCTTAAATTCTGGAGTTCTGAGAAAGCGCAGACCCGAAAGTCCAACCCGCACAGGCGGGCGGCCCGAAACACGGCCCAGGAACTGCCCCGCAGAGGGAGGCGGGCCTGTGTGATTTCACCGGTGACTTCCGCGCAGAGTTCAAGGAGCAGATGGTTTACTTCAAACGTTCCAGAATGCGGTGCATTGGTGCGCCACAGGAAGCAGCAATCGTAATTCTGTGACTTAACAAAGGGCGCCTTCCTTCCTCAACACACCTGAAGATGGAGCCCAGCCTCACCAGGGGAGGAAACGGGACAGAGCACGAGGGCTGAGTGGACCGTGCTAAGTGGACTGTGCTGAGTGGACTGTGCTATGTGGACCATGTTGAGTTGATTGTGCTGTGTGGACCATACTGAGTGGACTGTGCTGAGTGGACCGTGCTAAGTGGA